AGAGAAGTCTAGGATGAGGTTGAATGCAGAACTTTCGGCACATGGGAGCAGATTTGGGGTGACATGACCTTAACCCCAAACTGACAGGATAGGGCAGGCCTCCCCTCTTCTGGGCATGCCATGATGGCTGTCATAGAGTTGGCCCTTATTCTAAGGCTCACAATTTGCTCCCTAGGCTGAGCCAAGCAAACAACTCCCCCAGCCCGCCCCCCTATCCCCCACCCTGAGCTCCCACTGTCCAGATTGAGGAGCACAGCCTGCAGGGGACCGGGCTGCAACACTGGGTTCTCTTTCAGGGCCTCCTTCCCAGCCTCCACCCCTCAGCCCCATGGCTGCCTCCGTGAGCTTCCTGTTGAGTCCAGGTTCTAAGGGAACCAGCCATGAAGTGGGAGGATACCACAAAAATAGTTGACAGATTTAAAGCTCCAGAGACTTCCAAGCCAAGATTGCTAAGTTCCTGGGGAACTGAGCAGTGCACCCAGGAAGCACCAGCAAACGGATACCCCTTAGGCAGACTGGGCCAGGGCTCTTCACCTCACCTGAGGAGCCTGGCCCCAAGTCCTTCTGAGACCAGAGTAGCCAGAGCTTCCACATTGCAGATCTTGCTGTGAAGCCAGAATACCCCCAGGGAGCATTGGTACCATTTGCAGGTATGCCTCTGAAGGGGGACGCATCAGGAGGATTTGAAAGTGGGGCACATCCTCCCTGTGCATCAGTTGGGGGGAGGGGAGGAGAGAGACACGAGGGTCTGTCCTCAGTCTTTGCTCACCTCTGTTGAGCCTGCAGCAGCTTCCACTTTTCCAGGCGCCCCTCCTCACGCTGCTTCCTTTGCATCCGCCAGCTCTGCGTGGCAAGAAGGGATGCTCAGGAAGGGAAGCAGCCTTGCTACCCCTCCCCTGCCAGCAGCATCTTTTTCCTCTCTCTGCCCGTCTGCTTCCAACCTTCTGTCTGCCTACATTTTGGAGCAGTTCCCATGCCATTTGCTTGAGTTGAATCTTGAGTGGGGTGGGTGGGGTCAGGCTGAGCCCACTCATTGTCTGTGCTGCAGCTGCTCGCAGCAAACTGTTGTCTAGTCTAGACCATGCCTGTGCGTAGGCGCCTCAGCAGCGTCTGTACAGATATGATGAGGGCTCTGAGGTGCTCTCCAGGGAACCAGGGAAAGGGGAGGCTTAGTGCTCTGTTAGAAAGGGGACAAGGCCACAATGGCATGAAACCAGCTTATCTACCAGGACAGGGGCAGCTCCAGCGCAGGGCTGCTGACCTGTGAGAACCACCCTCTCCTGGAGGGAAGGCATCCAGCCATCGTGGAGTATCTGCGGGGCCTGGCACTTGGGGTCTAAGGCTGTGTTTTTTTCTTAAGGAATTTTTTGTCTAGTGGTGGGAGTAAGACATTAAGCATATAAACACATAAGTAAATATATAAAATATGTATATATTCGGAAAGTGCTACAGGGTGCCAAGTGAGACTAACTGGGACCCACTAGTGGTGGGGCTGACCAGGAAGGCTTCTCTGAGGAAGTGACACTTAAATTGAGAAGGATGTATAGATGTTAGCCAGGCAAAGAACAGGATCACTGTTCTAGACACATGTGCCCAGCTATGAAGTCTAGAAGCTGTTTTATCTTCCCCTGCTTTTATGTGAATGATTTTGAATCTGTTTCCAGCATGAGCTTTGGCAGAAGTCAAGGCTTCTCCATCTGTGGACTGTCAGGGCCTACTGAGTTACATGGTCCCAGCTTCTCAGAATGAAACCCTGGGACTGCTCCTCAGTGATACAGCTCTGAAACAAACAGGCTTGCCTGGAAGCCAACCTGAGAGGGGTTAGAAGTACATTAGGCCATCTCTCCTAGATACTTCCAGTTCACTGCTGAAGTCAGTCTCCTGGGGTTTAGAAGAAGGACCAGAATGACCACGTGTAAAGAGTTAAAGTAACCTGACTAGAGGATCCTCACCTGTTCTCAGTCTTCTAGGAATAACAGCAAAAACAAGCTAAAGGAAGAGAGAACTGTTCAATCACATAAACATTTAATCTTTTTTTCATTTAAAAAAGTTAAAAGATTAAGAAAAACGACATCCTGTGCCAGTTATATTCTTTTTTTTTTTTAATATATATTTTATTGATTTTTTACAGAGAGGAAGGGAGAGAGCTAGAGAGCTAGAAATGTCGATGAGAGAGAAACATCGACCAGCTGCCTCTTGCACACCCCCTACCGGGGATGTACCTGCAACCAAGGTACATGCCCTTGACCGGAATCGAACCCGGGACCTTTCAGTCCGCAGACTGACGCTCCACCACTGAACCAAACTGGTCTCAGCCAGTTATATTCTTTTTTAAAATTCTTTATTGTTTAAAGTATTTATTACATATGTCTCCCCCCCCCCATTGACCTCTCCACTGTTGTTCCCAGTTATAGTCTTAATAAATAGTTTCTAAAAACCAGTGTAATTAATACACAGCAATAAAAAAAAGTAGAAAAATATGAACTGGAAATTCATTTAAAAAACCAATACATACAACCAGTAAGCATGTGAAATAAGTTCAACCTCATGAATAACTAAGGAATTATTAATTTAAACAATGATATACTTTTTATTGCCCATCAAATTGGCAGTCTTTAAAATAAGCACAGCCAAAACCGGTTTGGCTCAGTGGATAGAGCGTTGGCCTGCAGACTGAAGGTTCCCAGGTTTGATTCTGGTCAAGAGCATGTACCTCGGTTGCGGGCACATCCCCCGTAGGGGGTGTGCAGGGATCAGCTGATCAATGATTCTCTCTCATCGATGTTTCTAACTCTCTATCCCTCTCTCTTCCTCTCTGTAAAAAATCAATAAAATATTTTTTAAAATAGAATAAGGACATAGCCCTGGGCAGTTCCTGGGCCTTCCTCACCCACACCGCTGATGGGATATAAATTGGCTCAGCCTCCCTGAGAGCAGCCTGGCAGTGTATGTGAAACACCCTTAAAGCATGCTCCCCTTCTGATCCTGCATTCTACTCCTTAGAGTTTATCTTGAGGTGGAGAGACAAGTATGCCAAGATGTAGGTGTATGGCTATTAACAAAAATATTTAAAAATGGAAAGAGTAGCCGAAGCCGGTGATAGAGCGTCGGTCTGCGGACTGAAAGGTCTCAGGTTCAATTCTGGTCAAGGGCATGTCCATTGGTTGTGGGCACATCCCCTGTAGGGGGTGTGCAAGAGGCAGCTGGTCGATGTTTCTCTCTCATCGACATTTCTAGCTCTCTATCTCTCTCCCTTCCTCTCTCTAAAAAAATCAATAAAAAATATATTTTTTTAAAAATGGGAAGAGTAGATGTCCATGAATAGGGGTGTGGTCCAATAAATCATGATATATTCTTACCATGGAGACTGTGCAGCTTTTTCCAGTGATGCTACAGAAGAATATTGTCATGCAGGGATGTTAATATGGTGTTTTATTTTAGTTTGTTTACAGCTTTAGTGAGTTTACATACCATAAAATTCACCCTTGTAATGTATTTTTAGTAGGAGAAACGAAGCTTACAAATAGTACGGCAGAATGGTCCAAACTTTTGTAATGAACACTGTAAGCACACACCTTACAAACACACCCAGGAAAGTCTGCTTGACTGTTAACAGCGATTTCATCTGGGTGGTGAGGTCACGGGTAGCTTACTTTCTTATTTTTGTGTATCTGTACTTTCTAGTGTTCTGCAGGAAATGCCAATTACTTTGGTATGAAGAAAAAAATTATAGAAGCTTAGGGCTGAGTGTTAAACCTCAGTTAAACCAAAGTTTTCACTCCTGGCATGGCCATCAGGTCCCCTAGATGTGGTCATGGTCCCTCTGGTCACCTCTCCCCACTCCCTGCTGCACACTGTGCACTCCATGACACAAACTGCCTGGAGTTGGCTGCTTATGTGCCATTTCTTACCTTCGTACGTTTGCTCACCCAGGTTCCTCTGCCTGGCCCATTCCAGTACCACCTCCTCAGAGAAGTTTCCCCTGAGCCCCCTCAGCTACCCCGAGCCAGAGCCTCTCCCCGGGATTGGGCAGCCGGCCTCCCCTGTGGCCCTCACCCGCTTTGTGGAACTTATTTGTGTGCATCTGTTTCCTCACCCCACCCTTGGGAAGCCCCAGCTGCCTTCCCAAGGTGTAAACTATAGAGAGCTAGAAGGAGTGACTCCTTTTTTAAAATCCATTCTCGCCCGCCCAATGAGGCTCAATGAGCTTCAACCTATGAACCTGAAGGTCACGGTTTGATTCCCAGTCAGGGCACATGACCAGGTTGTGGGATCAATCCCCAGTGGGGCGTGCAGGAGGCAGCCAATCAATCAATGAGGTTCTCTCTCATAATTGATTTTATTTCTCTCTCCCTCCCCTTTGCTTTCTGAAATTCCCCTTTCCCCCCATTGACAACTTTGGGATGTTCTTCCATCTGAGAGGACTTAAGGGTCAAGGGGAGATGGAGAGAGGAGATTCTCGGTAGTAACCTGTATACTCTCTGGGCATAAGAACCCTTGGGCCTCATATTCACCATTTCCTGGGGCCCGCACCCAACCACACCACAGAGGTCATAACATTGGGAGTGGAGTGGGGCCCAGGAATCAGCATGTCAAGCCACTGGCTATAGGAAATTGGGGGAAGGCCTTACTTTGGGAATAGTAAATTCCCAGCCAGTTCCTTCTCTGTGGTGATCTCTTGGGGAACCCAATTTGCATCTGCACAAAGCCCGGTGTTCTCTGCATTTTACCAGCCTCTTTCAGGCAAGCTGGCTGCCCACCTCTGTCACCAGTACACTCCCTCAAGCCCCTAATTAATCCTAAGTAAAGGAGCCCTGGCTCTTTGTCACCGGGAACCTTCAGTTCTCCTCTGGGAGGGAGAGGAGGCAGCAGTGACAGTAGCAGCAGCAGCAGCCGTGTGACGCATCCCCGAGTCAGAGACTTGGAGGCTGGGTTAGCATAAGCAAACGCGCTGGCTTGCTCAGTGAGAGGGGTTCTTTCTGTCTTGTCTAGAGCTGAGGATGAAGCGGAGAGCATCCGACAGAGGGGCTGGGGAAACGTCGGCCAGGGCGAAGGCTCTAGGAAGTGGGATTTCTGGAAATAACGCGAAGAGAGCTGGACCGTTCATCCTTGGTAAGCATCTCCCCTCTGGGTGGGCGGGTGCTGGGGCAGGGGCAGGGCACACTGGCAGGCACAGTCTGACCCGGGACACGCAGAGTGAAGTGACACACCCACTACAGTGTGGGATCCTGACCAACCCTGGGCCTGGCCCAGCCTCACCGCCTTATCTAGAGTCTGTTTATGCCAGTGGAAGATCCAGAGCTTTAGGTCACCCTGTACCAAGAATTGTCACCTTTGTTGTAGAGGCACCAGCTTTGGATCAGTCTTAGCTGAGAGCTAGACTATATGTTCCCCTACGATGTCACCCATGGGAAACACACAGCTGCATTGAATCCAAAGGGCCATCAGGCACTTTGTGGACCACTCTTGGAAAGCGCGATTAATTTCACAAAGTGTTTAATATAGTCCCTAAAACTTATTGTAAAGTTGGCACAGAAATCCTGTAGAATTGGGTATTCCCAGTGGTCCAGAGGAGCAGCTAGGCCTTCTGTGTGATGTTAGAGGTCCAACAAGTCCCGGTTGTTCATGCTCAGGATTGCAGGTGGGGTGGGCTCTGGAGACCCTAACTCCCTAGCACCCAGAGGCTGGGTGGGAGTTTTGCTGGGGAACAGCATCTGGACTTAGGATCCAGGAGAGTTCCAGCTGCAGGCATTCAATGAGTCAGTGGTGCTCCCTCTGAGTCAGGCCTGTGCAGTTTGCAGGGGTGCAGCAGTGAATGAGACAGACCAGTCCCTGCCCTCACAGAACTTAGCACTCTAGTTGCAAAAAGAAACAGTAAACAACACAAGGTCATCACTGGGAGGCCGCCTTTAGGGAAGTAAACACGGTGATGTGAGAGCAAGAAGGGCGGGAGATAGTATAGACCGGGAAGGTTCTGTGTGAGGAGATGACATTGAGCTGACACCTGAGGAGAAGAAGGAGCCAACCGTGTGAAAAGCAGGGGTAAAGCATTCGATACAGAAGAAACAGCAGATGCAAAAGCCCAGAGGCAGGAAAGAGCTTACTGTCTTAGGAATTAAGAAGCCAGTGTAGCTAGAGTGGAGTGGAGAAATACAACCAGTTAGAAAGATGGGCAGGAACCAAATTATGCAAGACCTTGGATGTCCAAAAAGGAGTTTGGACAAAAGATTGCATAGTAAGAGCTGTGGAGCACTGTTATGAGTTGTTAGCAGAGCAGTGACATGGTGATATCATCTGCTTTATCATAAAGCTCAGGCATGGTGCTGTCAAAGGACAACAAGCGGAACACTTCTCCAGAAATCCGAAGTTCCCAAAAGCCAGTCCTTGGACTGGGGCCAGGTGGCTATATCAAGCTACCGTGGGAACCTGTCAGAGCTGTGGTTTCCTGGATTCTCATCCTGGAGTTGCTGATTCCAAGGGGCACGTTGCAGCCGGGAGCTCTTTTTGATAACATTCTCCTCAGAGAGCCCAGCCTGCACCCACTGCTGAAAACCCCTCTTTTTTAAATGGGACTATAAAAGCCCCGTGTACCTCAGGCACATGCACACATACCCTCCATTTTTGGAGGGAAGACCAGGAAAACTCTCCCCCAGGAGAGCTGTTGTGGGTGAGTTCAGTGAGGCCCACTGAGAAGAACTAGCCAAAGACCCTGTGGTGATGGTGCCACTGTAGATAGGCTTCTGAGCAGTAAGCCAGCTGCTGTCTGTGCCACAGGTCCCCGTCTGGGCAACTCACCGGTGCCAAGCATAGTGCAGTGTCTGGCGAGGAAAGATGGCACAGATGACTTCTATCAGCTGAAGGTAAGTGAGGCACCGGGGGCAGGGTACTGGGGACTCGGGCCATCCTGCCGCCTCGCTCCCTTTCCTCTCCCTTTGCACCTGCACCACTTGTGAGCAAGCGTGGCACCATTTCTTCCTGAGAAGCAATCAGGTTCACAGCCTCTCTCTGAACAGCTCTTGATTTAACGAGCTTTATCTGTGCATAAATTATGTTGCCATCACATTAAGAAAAACTGTTGCACTTCGGAGGGGGGTGTGTGTGCAAGTATTGCATGGGAGAATGTGACCTCCTGCTTTCCCTGTTCTGGTCACTCTGCTCTGTAAAGTAAGGTTTTTTGGGTTGTTTTTCTTTTTTCTGTGTGTGTGTGCCTTCCTAAAGATCCTTACCCTTGAGGAGAGGGGGGACCAAGGAATAGAAAGCCAAGAGGAGAGGCAAGGCAAGATGCTGTTACACACCGAGTACTCTCTGCTCTCCCTCCTCCACACACAGGATGGCGTGGTTCACCACCACGGGCTCTTCCAGGTAAGTGGCTGCCTGTCCCCTCTTTTCCCTGACATCCCCCACCCTGGGCGGGCACTTGCTAGGGCCACACCTGTCCTTGGAGCAGCTCACCCTTGTGACCCCTGCGTGCTGGGTGCATCATGACTTTCTGGGCTGGGCAGGCTAAAGCAGCAGTCGCCAACATTTTGGACCTCACGGGCCACCACCGCTGGTTGGTGACCGCTAGGCTAGAGGTCAGACTGGGTCAGCCCCACAGTCCTGCTGTGATGATCACACCCTAGCAGGAAAGTACCCAACTCACATCTTATAGCCTTTCTTTGAAAAGCTGATTTTCTGAGAAAAGAAGAAAGCAGGAAGTCATTTAAAGACACAGGCTCTTTCTACTGTTTTGTCAGGATTTGGCCCAGCCAGGGTAGAAGGGAGGGCTGTGAGGAAGAACGGGCCCTTTGAGCCACCTCAGTTGTTTTGGTGCCAGCAGTCCTGTCCGCCCAGGCATTCCAGTTTGTTCAACAAGTTTCCCTGTGCCCATGATCCGATGTCCCAGGTCCCACAGGAAAGGTGCTAATTAGCAATATATACCCTGAAAAAAGCCCTCGGGTGGAACTGAAATTGTGTCTTCAGAAGTGGAGAAGCAGCTCAGATGCCCAAGAGGCCGCCTACTCAGGACTCAGCAGGGCCTCTGCAGTGCCCTTAGCCAGACGCACTGGCCAGGGCCCCTTCTTGCTCCAATGGACCTGGTACAGGAGAGGCAGCATGGTGGCAGGAGGTGGTGCACACAAGTTTTGGAGCCAGCAGTCCTGGGGTCAGGTTGTGTGACCTCGGGCAAGTCACTCAGGTCCCCTAGTCTCGGATTCCTCATCTTTGACCTGGGCATAAGGACAGTGATGCCCACCTTGTTCGGTGGTGGGAAGATGAGTGAGTGTGCAAAGCACTGAGCTGCCCCGTTTGCACTCATCGTGGCTGTTATTTCAGGCAATAAAACCTCGTTGTCGGCTTGATTTCCCGAAATAAAATAAATTAGAATGCCTCTCAGCCGCACACATACACCCCACTAAGGTCTTCATTCTGAGGTGCACAAGTACAGGCAACTCAGTATCATTAGGCAACTCTGCAAACTAGTGTTTCCCTTGAGCATGAGGTCGAATTGAGGGAGATTGTGATTTCTTAGTACTTCATTTCTGCCAGCTTCCAAAGCTTGGCCTTGGCTCCTATCATTGTAGACAAGAGAACCTGGGTGATTAGTGTTTCTAGAATCGTCTGTGTGCCAAACCCTGTTGGGTCTCTGGGAAGGGAGAACAAGAGGTGTGGATGTTCAGTCCCAGGAGCTCTCAGGGGCTGGATGACACCGGTGGCCTCCTCAAGCCGATAGGATAAAGGTCCCGTGTTGTGCCTGTTTTTTTTTTTTTTTTTTCTTGAAATGCTCCCATTTGCAGGTGAGGAGCCAGAGACTGCCCCAGGTCCAGAGCCATACTCTTACCCTCTGTTCCGTGGCTGCCCATGTGAATCAGTTGTCTGGAACACACAAAACACTTCACAGCCACCACTTGGACGTTGGAGGAAGTGTGCTGTGGTTGTTGCTGGGAGCCCTGGAGTGCCACGGAGGGGAAGGTGTCCAGGGTCCTGGTTTACAGCCTGGACTCTGGACTCAGGGGACTGTTTGGCTTTAAATGCTCAGCCCTGATCTTAGTATTAGAGTCAAAGCATGAAGCTTGTACCTGAGCTACTGTAACCTCATTCCTGCTCGACCTGGCCCTGGTACATGGGAAGCCAGGCATTGCCCCATGGTCCATGCTGCCCAGGTCTCAGGCCTTCATCGCTTGCACACATGCAGGCTTCTCCCAGGCTCCCTCATTGCTTTGTGTGTTGGGCTCCAGAGGAGAGTCCCAAAGCTCCATCAGCCCCTTGCCTCTCAGGACCGAACCTGTGAAATCGTTGAGGACGCAGAATCCAGCCGAATGGTTAAGAAGACGAAGAAGCGCATCTGCCTCGTTCTGGACTGCCTCTGTGCGCACGACTTCAGCGACAAGACCGCCGACCTGATCAACCTGCAGCACTACGTCATCAAGGAGAAGAGGCTCAGCGAGCGGGAGACCGTGGTCATCTTCTACGACGTGGTGCGCGTGGTGGAAGCCCTGCACCAGGTGAGGCTGCGCCCCTCTGCAACCCCTCCTCTGGCCTGAGAGCGTCCTGGGCCCACAAGCCACAGAACGCCACCCTTCCTGCTGCTGCTGATGGCAGCAGCTCTGTCCCGCCCTCACCCAGTGTGCTTTGCAGCTGGAACAGCTGGAAGTGTGCAGAAGGAAAGTGGCCAGATGACAAGTATGCCTGGGGAGGCACAGTGCTGCAGGCCTCAGCCCACCATCCGGGGGCTTGGGGGGCGGGGGTGCTGTATTGGGCATGGAGCAGAACCCAGAGCAGGGATCCCTCTCGGGTGAGGAACTAAACATGAGCCTCCCATCTTTGGTGATGACTGTGAGCTATCCACTGGGGCCACAGCCTACCTCTGAGCTTTTCCTAAGATTGGGGGTGTCAGGTACCCCAGTGCCCAGGTTAGGAGAGCCTCTTGCAGGCCAAGCCTGCAACGTGGTCTCCAGAGTCAGGAGAGTTCATCTCTGACTCCGGCTCCAGGCAGAGGCTTAGTTTTTTGTTGTTGCTTTTCAATAAGATGTTTGTTGGAGGTGGAGAGAGGACTGGGTTTTCCCACTGGCTGCTGCCCTGAGGAGAGAAAGCTGGGAACCCGCCTGGATGGGGCAACGATTGCCTGGGCTCACCTATTACCCCATCCATACATATGGCTGATGAGGCCTTACAATGGTCCTGGTCTGCCTGTGGCTTACAAATCAAGGCAGAGCCTTAAAAGGCATGTCACAGAGTTTTATCCTACCTTCCCAAACACCTTACAGGAGCCCTCACTCACCTTCATGGTGCAAACCATTTTGTTATCTTCCAGAAAAACATCGTGCACAGAGACCTGAAGCTCGGGAACATGGTGCTCAATAAAAGGTGAGACCTGCTTTTCTTCCTTCAGGAGGTAACCGAGGGGTTGGAGCAGGCTATGTGCTGCAGCCACCAGCTGTCCCATGCCCTCAGGACTCCCGTGGGGATTCTGGCTTAAAACAGCCCACTTCTCCCAGGAATCCCAGTGGTGGGGGTGCGATGCCCGCTTAGATTTTCTTGCTGCATAGAATATGAGGAAGGAGGCTTCAAGGCCACAGACAGAGCTCTGGGAAGGAGTGCAGAGACTCTCCCTGGTCCATTCACTAACCATGCCTGATCCCAGATCAAGGCAAGGGGCACAGGGGCCTGCACCCACAGACTGAATGTGGCCCATGCCCGGGGTGGGCGTAAGCTCAGGCAGTCTCCTTTGGTAAGGGCACTTCCCAGAGAGGACACAGCCACGAGTAGTCAGAAACCAACACTCCCAGCAGCTGGAGAGAGTGCCTTGGTCTTGGAAGGGATCTGGTGGTTCACCCGAGGGTGGCAGGAACGCTGGCAGGGCTCCTGCACTGTGACCACCCCGGCGCCTCAAGCCTCTTAGTCTCCGAGATGGATTTGCTTCTGCCTCTCAGTTCTCTAGGCCCCTTCAGTCAGGGAAGGTATTATAATCCGAAGATCACACCTCCCTTGAGTAATGCGTGTGTGTGTGTGTGTGTGTGTGTGTGTGTGTGTGTGTGTTTCCTCCAATTGCAGAGCACCACTACCTCATTCAGACCCTTCGTCTTGGTTGCAGTCCTTTAATCTGACAATCCCTTCTGTGCTGGGCAGACAGGTTCTGGCCCCTCTCCCTGACTCCCAGCTGTTCTGGAAGAGAGCAGAGTGGTGAGGTGCAGAGAGACCCACACTGAGAGTCCAGGGCCCGCCCCTCTCCTCTCCAGACCTTGCTTTCATCCTTTCAAAGTCAACCTGGAGGCGCTTCCACCCCTTCATTCCCCTCAGGCCAGGCCCTAATTCCAGCTGGAGAGGCAGGCCCACAAGCTGGAGGCCTTGCCGGGCCCTCATGGCAGAGGGTGCTCCCAGGGGAGGAAACGGGAGGAGTGTCTGCCAGGCAGCACAGTGCCAAGTCCGCCCTTCTGTGGATGAAAGGCACCGGCTGAAATCTGAAATCCCCTCTTGGGGTTATGTGAGGTTTGCTATAGGTTCCTCTTCCTCCTTTCTTTTCGGGTAGTCAAGTTGCACACCAAGTTCCTAGAAAAAGAGAATAACACTGTGGTAGCCCAAAGGGCCATAGCTAAAGAGTGACTCACTCAGAGGGATCCTGCTGACACAGAGCTCCCTTCATCCCTCACTTCCCTCGCCCCTCTGCCAGGACTGACGAGCCTGGGGGGTCTGGGCTCCCAGGGATCTGTGCACCACCCAGCCAACTTGGGAGGTGGTGGCCTGGCAGGGAGCGCCGCCAAGTTTCAGGAGGTCTTGGCGCTGACCATGTGGTTTCCTGTGGGAGAGGCTCCAGGGTCCTCGGCGGGCAGAGCAGTGCGAGCCAAGTGGACCCTGCTGCCCTCCCTGCAGTCTCTGGTGCATTTTCCTCCCGCCTTCCCACCCCGCCCCACGCATACTAATAGAGGGCTGGCAGAGGCACGTGGGCTCAGAGCCTGTGGACACAAAGTGGCACCTCTCTCCTGCCCCCTCAGACACGGTGCCTTTCCCAGCGTTCTCCTCTGGCAGCTTCTGCCCACTGTCGGGGGATGACATGCTCATCTGAGCTCGCAGTTAGTGATCAGTGCCTGTTCGCCAGGCCCTGGGCCAGCGCGTTCCCTGGGATTAAGTTCTTATCTTGTTAAACTCTAACACATCCTGGGAGTTAGGTGCTAATATCCTCCCTGTTTCACAGATGAGGAAATTGAGATTTAGCAAGAGGCTAAATAACATGTCCAGGACCACACAACCAGGAAGTGGCAAAGCCAGGAATGGACCCAGGATCTGACTCCCAAGCCCACCAAACTGCCCGCTGCACTGTCCTCCCCCAGGGTCCCAAGCCTCAGAGAGCGCCACAGGAGATGCCGCAGCTGCTGAGCCATCTCTGAGCGGAGAGGAACCCAGTGCCTCTGCTCTGGGGACCGTGCACTTGAGAGGTTGAGCAGCCCCACGTTCAGGATGTGGTGGTTCAGAGGGGAGCGGTCCACGGCTTGATGTGCTGTGATCCCTGTCTGGACCCTTCGCCTGCTCTCTCGGACTCCAGCTGCCCTAGGGCCACCAGTTCGACTTCTGTGGCATTTGACGGGCGGGCCTGTGTGGAGAGGAGAGTCGACATTTCCATTCGGAATGCAGAGCACAGACTGGCCTTTGTTTTGCACCAAGCCCTGTGCCAGCAGAATTCCCCAGAGAGCTGAAAGGCTCGGGAGACTTTTGGATGCAGCTTCTGGGGAATTCCGCCCTCAGTCCCATACGACCTGCACTGAGCCGACTCCCCTCCATCCTGGAGAGGCGGCCCGCAGCCCCTCGTGTGCTTCCCTGCCAGCGGCTGGCATCGGAGCCGGGCAGTACCCCTGCTCGTCTGTGGGCAGAGAAGCACCCTTCCTCACTGGCCGTCCCCGCAGGGGCAAAGAAGCCTTTCCCAGCCTCTTGGAAGGGTACTGCCCCCTGTAACCCCCGCCCCGTGTGATGTGAGGTGTCCTCTCTGGGCCATTTTGCTCACACTGTGAAGCTCCTAGAAAGGATCAGAGCCAGAGCTGCTCTCAGCCACAACTCGAATGGGCGGATCCATGGCTTTCTAGGTCAGGGGAGAATCTGAAGGGCAAGGCGGGGAATGAGAAAGGGACTGGGGTTGACCAGGACACAGTGGGCACCTGGGTATGTTAGTCTACAGGGCAGGCTCTAGAGTCAGACAGACCCAGGTTTGGATCCTGTTCTCTCCACACTAGCTGTGTGACCCTGGACAAGTCCCTGCACTTCTCTGTGCCTTAGTTTCATTGTCTTTGAAATCCCTCCTCGGCGTGTGAATGAAAACAGTAATCACCAGGCACTGAGGCCATGATGCGGATTGATAATGACATGGGGGTGACCAGAGGGCTCAGCAAAAGGAGACCAAAGTAGCACCTAAGGGTGGGCTTCACAGCCCTGCTGGCTCTTCCTCATGTGGAAATGCGGGAATTGAACTATCTCGGTCACTCCCAATCTAGGTGTGATGTGAGGTTGTTTGGGGACTCCCTGCAAGTTGTCCCAAACCCCAAGCTGTCCCCCTTGAGACTCAGCTAGGGCAGCAGGTTCAGGGGAGCCCTCCTTAAACACCAGATCAGAATGACTCAGATCCCTGCCTGGACGGCTCAGCAGGTGGCAACCAGAGTGAATGGCCAGAGTCAGCCGCACGGGCACTCTCCACAGCCCCGGGAAGGCAGTGAGGGCCGGGGAGCAGAGCGGATGTGGGCATGAGTCCTCTGCTCTCTGGACAGGAGGTGCGGGCAGCAGTGGTGCCATGGGAACCAAGGTGTGTTCACTCTCTGCCTCCCACTCCCAGGACGCATCGGATAACCATCACCAACTTCTGCCTCGGGAAGCACCTCGTGAGCGAGGGGGACCTGCTGAAGGACCAGAGGGGCAGCCCCGCCTACATCAGCCCCGACGTGCTCAGCGGTAGGTGCGGTGCGCAAGCAGCGGGCCCGGCCAGCACACAGCCAGGCGCCCAGCAGTTCGCTCCTTCCGCAGACCCTGTCTGTGGGCTTCCTGATGGCTTCGGCCAGTACTGTCCTCCGGGCCTCATGGAGGACGAAGACAGCAGTGCCACACCAGTGCACATTTCGTCAATCTCTGAGATTAGTGCTTGGCAGGGAGGATTTCTGTTCATGTAAATAAGGCACTTGGACTTCCCCAAGGAAATGACGTTTGAACTGAGATGGAAGGATAAATGGGAATCCTGGGGAGTGTGACTGGGTGGAGGCAGCACAGCACATTGCAGGAGAACCACTGAGGGCCCCTGTGGCTGTTGCTCAGAAAGGGAGCTTGGCTCAAGGCCAGAGAGGTGGGCGGGGGCCAGACCGTGAAAGGGCTGATGGAGGCCTCACTGAGAAACAAATGCCATCCTTTATTTCAAGTGCAAAAGGAAGCCATTGAACAGGTCTTTTTTTTTTTTTTTTAATATATTTTATTGATTTTTCACAGAGAGGAAGAGAGAGGGATAGAGAGTTAGAAACATCGATGCGAGAGAATCATCAATCAGCTGCCTCTTGCACACCCCCTACTGGGGATGTGCCCGCAACCAAGGTACATGCCTTTGACCGGAATTGAACCTGGGACCTTTCAGTCCACAGGCCGACGCTCTATCCACTGAGCCAAACCAGTCCCGGCTGAACAGGCCTTGATGAGGGCGCCAGGATGAGATTTGCATTTCAGACTTCACTCCCTTGGTTCCGTCATTCATTCACTCATCCTGCTGGTATTCCTTTTTACAGATGAGAAAACCAAGGCTCAGAGAGATTCAGCCTCTGTCCAAAGTCATAGCTAATCGTAAACCCGAAGGCTGGACCCCAAGGCTGCCTCCTGCCCAAGCCCAGGCTCCTGTTTCACCAGAGGTTTTCTTTCCTTTTCCCACTCATTCTTTACCAAATTGGGTCTCTCCTGATCCCGTAAGGGATCAAGGGCTTATGTCAGCGGAGTCTCTCCCATGTGAAGAAGGCCCAGGATTGTCCCCGGGGTGTGTAACCACCAGCACACACAGGTGTACCCTCCTCGCAGTCACAGAGTCGTGCTTGCCTTCCGGGGAAGCTGGCTGCTGTGATTGACCATAAACATCTGGAGTTCTCTCGGAGGCCGCCCCAGCCCAGGCTTCTGCTGGAATGCCAGGCTACCCGTCCGTAGAGGGTAGAGGTTTGGAATCCCTTTGGCCTCTGCTGGAGGACTCCCTGGGCAACCCCCAGTCCAGCTGGACACCCTCCATGAGAATCCCCAAAGCATCTCTAGATGAAAGGAGCCAGGAGGGAGAACCAGCTCTGTGGTGTGTGTAGGCCTGAGGGTGACAGGGCTCTCTGGTCAGGACTGTCCTTAGCAATGCCAGGCTAAGGTGGCCTCCATGTGCAGTCACTGGCTGCTGCCTGCGGCTTCTCTCTCTGGTCCTTCCAGATGTATCCCCATCTTGTAGGATGAAACAGAGACACCACTTCCCCAGAAAGAGACCCAGGCTGGGAGACCAGGGCCCGGGCTCTGACACTGGCATTGCTAACTAATCAGCTGTGTGACTTGGCCCTCACCCCCTCCCTGAGCCTCGGTCTCCTCACGGAAACGGTCCTGCCTCCCACATTGTTCAGAGGATGAAGTGTGATGCTTAAGTACAGCCTGCATGTGGGTTCTGGTCTCAGGTCTGCTGCTCCTTTTACACTGAGTGGCCACATTATTATGATCTCAGAACGCATAATAATCTGGCCACTCAGTGTATATCCTATATAATACAAGGCTAATATGCAAATTGTCCCCTTGACCAGGGGTTCGACCAGCAGTCAGGCCGGCCAACTACCCATGTCCCCTCCCCTTGGCCAGGCTGGCTGGACCCTACCCATGCACGAATTCATGCACTAGGCATCGCGCACGTGCACGTGTGTGTGTGTGTGTGTGTGTGTGTGGCCAGATTATTATGCGTTCAGAGATTATAATAATCTGGCCACTCAGTGTATTGTGTGTGCCAAGCACAGCCTAGGCCTTGGAGCTGAGTGAAGGCAGTGTTGGCCTTGCCCTCATAGAGTTTATGGTCTGGTTAATAATTGGGACCTTGGGAGAGTTACTGACCTCTCTGGACCTTTACTTTCTCATCTGTAAAGTTGGGAAGCTAATAACATCTACTTCATTGGGTCCCTGTGGGATTAGATGAGGCCTTAACCTCGAGTCTGGCTCAGTAAACATTAGCTGGCATCATCATTACTAAAGGAAAGCTTCAAGGTTAGTGTTTTCCCAGAAGCCAAAGTGCAGGGAAAGGTGGCCTGATGGCCAGAGCTTGTCTGCCGGAGGCGGCGCCCAGCTGTCATCTCTGTCCAGGGCAGAGCGGAAGTTCCTGCTCTTCCTGTGGGGCAGCTCGGACTGGCACAGTTCCCTCCCTCCTTGGCTGAGGCTCCATCTGGGGCATCTTGGTGGGGACCCCCTTCCTGCTGCTGCGGGAGAGGCAGTACCTCCTGTGGAGCCGCACAGAGCTAAGCACAGTGGCCCAGTGGACTCTATTGCTTTCCCACGTGGAGCAGGGCCTGGGAGCAAAGGTCAGCATCCAGGGTTGGAAAAGGGCGGGGCCATGCTGCCTCCAGGAGAGAGCTGGGCAGAAGCTCATCACACAACTGCCTGCTTCGCCAGCCTCAGGGGCCTCATGGGGTCGCTGTCTCTCTCCCCCACTTAGAAGTCACAGGCTTGGTGAAGGGGGTCCGGGATACCTTCTGAAGCACAGGCTGAGGTCTGACAGCGCCTCCGTGCACAGTCCCACCCCTTAAGCTTCTTGACCTTCAGTGGGCCTGGGGGGCCCTTGGGAACCAGTGTCCTCCAGCCACCCAGGAGGCTTGGGACCCAGGGGAGGTTGACCTGGTGCCCAGCAGTGTCTCTTCCACGGAGGGCTGAGTTGTGTCCAGGGAACCTGGGGCCGCGGGGCCTGCTGGTGTCCCGGGCACTGGCAGCAGGGCTTTCCGAGGCTGGCGTCGTTCCCACACACTAGGTGTGCAGTCAGGCAGCGGCTGCGCCGGGGAGGAGCTCTGCTGCTGAGGGTGGGTGCCCAGATTCCCAGGCAATGGGAGAGGCAGCGCTTTCCATCAGCCATGTGACCCTGGACAGATCACATCCCTGGGCCTCGTTTACTCTGTGGACAAAGAGAAAATATCTAACCCACAGAGCTGTGGTCGAGGGTTAATGAGATGAAGTGTTTCTTCCAGTGTTAGCCCCGAGAGTTGACCCAACTGGACAGCCACTGAGAGCGCGTGCTGGGTGCAGGGCTCAGCAGGGAGCGAAGCAGAAGCCCCTGCATGTGAAAGCGTGCCTTCCCGTGGGGAGACGGGGAACAGACAAAGAAGGGGGTCCTTACAGAGCTCAGTGCTGTGAGGGAATCGTGACGGGTGTGGCTGACTGTCCAGAGCCGCGCAGCTTTGTTCCGCACGCACATTGCCCTCCTGCTCTGTGAGCCGCTCTGCTAGGAGCCGGGAGAGAGCTTTGAGGAAGAGGCAGGAGGCACGCCCGAGGTGGGGTATCACTGTCCCCCCCACCCCCCAGCTGGGTCTCCAGAGCAAGAGCTGAATCCGCCTGAAGAGACAGGGCGGGGGGGGGGGAGAGGTGAAGACTGGGTAAGAGCTCGCTCTGGGAGGAAGGGGGCAGGGTGACCAGAAGGGAAGAAGGTGGCAAGGTCGAGGGGTCCCTGGACAGATTTCAGCAGGTCGCTGGTAAGCGGTGGGAGGGCAGGGCAGTTTCTCTCTGGGGTTTGTGCTAAGTGGTGCCTCTGTGTGCCCACAGGCCGGCCGTACCGGGGCAAGCCGAGTGACATGTGGGCGCTGGGCGTGGTGCTGTTCACCATGCTCTACGGCCAGTTCCCCTTCTACGACAGCGTCCCCCAGGAGCTCTTCCGCAAGATCAAGGCCGCCGAGTACACCATCCCGGAGTGAGTCCTGGTCCCGGGAGGTGGGGGGCTCTGCCGCCGAGGCTTATGGGAGAGACAGCACAATGAGGCCTGGAATCCTGGGTCCGAGGCCCAGCCCAGCTCACCCCCCTGGGCCTCCCCCTCTTCCCCTCCTGCATCAGGGACGGGCGGGTTTCTGAGAGCACCGTGTGTCTCATCCGGAAACTGCTGGTCCTCGACCCCCAGCAGCGCCTGGCTGCCACCGACGTCCTGGAAGCCCTCAGTGCCATCATCGCTTCGTGGTGAGTGGACTGGTGCCGGGCTGGGTTCTGCCCATCCTGCCAGGAAAGAAGCCTGAGGGTGGGCCTGTTTCTCTGCCAGGCAGAGTCCAGTCTCCAGATTTTCCCCTGGGGCAAGAGTGGGCGGGTCCTGGCAGCACCTGGCTCTAGCACCTCCTGTCCACCATCGCCATCGATGCCAGGTGTTATCTCGCTGAGTTCTAACCACACACAGCCTGTGAGGTAGAAATTGTCCCCCATTATTGGATGAGAAAACGGAGGCCTGGAGAAGCAGAGTTGATCACATCAGGAAGGGACTGAGTTGGGATCCAACCCAGGTCTTTTGACTCCAACCAAGTTTTAGAGCAGTGAGGACCAGGGAGCGGGGGCTGGGCGGCTTGGAGCCGAGCTGATGTGTGACGTGCCTGCCTCCCCTGCAGGCAGTCCCTGTCGTCTCTGAGCGGGCCTCTGCAGGTGGTCCCTGACATCGACGACCAAATGAGCAATGCGGACAGCTCCCAGGAGGTGAGTTGGGAAGGACAGACAGACAGGCTGCTGCCCAAGTCCTGGGGGACCAGCCTGCAAGGAAGGCAAGCCCACTCCCCACCGTTCTCCCCGGCCCCTCCGTGGTCACTCTTCTCCCTCCCGTCTGACGCAGCCATCCTGGCACAGAGGTGCAGCTCCCAGCAGGCGGCAGGGCCTTCTCAGCTTTGTCCCCAGCTCTTAGAGTGGGAAAGGGAGACCTCAGGCCTCCTGTGCTGCCTGGGGCCTGCCTCGTGTCCAGCTCAGTTGGAGGTTCTGTGGCCTGAGAAAGGGCAGCTGAGGTGGAGGCCCCACAGTGGCCCTGCCTGGCCCTCCCTCAGCTTCCCCTTCCTGCCACGGGCTGGCCCTTTAAACAGTCACATTTCTCTGCCCCTCTGACTCACATGGTTCTCTCTCAGCCTTCCTGCTTTTCATTTTCCAAATGATTCATTTTCTCCCCGTTTTCTCTCTTCCTCTGTTCCCCACACTGGAGAAAGTGCTGGGCCCAGAGGGCAGAGACGGGGCACAAGGCAGCAGCGACTGGGTGATCTTAGGGTGCCCCCTGGAGGACAGAGCTTGGCCAGGCCCTTGGGAGGGGTACACTAGGCAGGGAGCACCAGAGGCACCAGCCTGGGGCCACAACAGAGCCTCCTGGCCCTGGGGCCACAACAGAGCCTCCTGGAAGAGAGCCCCAGGCTACCCACCGGCCCCACCATGTTCAGCAGCTGAGGTGATCACCAGGGCACACGAGGAATGCCCACACGGCACGTCTCCTCAGTCCTGTGTGGCCACGCTCTCATCCGCGTCTCACAAGTGGGAACTGGGGTTCAGAGAGGTAAATAGGTTTCCCAAAGTCACACAGCTTGGAAGTAGTGGAGCTGAGCCTTGAACCCAAGTTGACTCCATAGCCCTGCTTTCCCCCTCAGCTGATTAGCACCAGAACCTTCCACTTCAGTCGGTCCCTGTCTGCCTGGGCCACTCTGGGGCTTGGTGTGGGGCAGGATAAAGAAGCACAGCTGCCCCAGGCCTCTTTCTGTTAATCCTCATTGAGAGTCTTTTTTGGAGAGAGTGGAAGGGAGAAGCTGGGGGAGAAACATTGATATGAGAGACACAGATTGGTTGCCTCCTGCACATGCCTGGACCAGGGCTGGGGATCCAACCTACAACCCAGGTGTGTGCCCTTGACCGGAAATCGGACCTGCAACCCTACGGTGCACAGGCTGATGCTCCAGCCATTGAGCCACACCAGCCAGCCCGAGGCCTCTTTTTTAACACTCGCCCTGCACTGCCCCTCCCGGGCTCTTGACAGTCTCTGACGGGAGCTTATTGTCCACTTCGCAGGCGAGGAAGCCAAAGTCTTGGAGTCAGTGTGGGGGATACGGCTCAGGTGCCAGGTCTGCTTCAGCTGGAGTGACACCAGGGTGGCCAGCAAGGCGAGGTCCAGGGCGGCTGGGGGCTTCAGGGGCCCACACTCTGCCTCAGCTGGATGGGATCCAAGGGCGTGGGGCCCGGGGACGGACCTCTGAGCCAGGTGACCTGACACACTCCCTGCTCTTCTCTGCCCACCGCCCCCTCCTCTCTCTGTCTCTGTCTCTGTGCCTCGCAGGCGAAGGTGACAGAGGAGTGCTCCCAGTACGAGTTTGAGAACTACATGCGGCAGCAGCTGCTGCTGGCCGAGGAGAAGAGCTCCATCCACGAGGCCCGGAGCTGGGTGCCCAGGCGGCAGTTGGGCAGCGCGCCGCTGGTGCGCCGGCTGGGTCACGACGCACAGCCCGTGAACCCCTTGGACGCAGCCATCCTGGCACAGCGCTGCCTGCGGAAATAGCCCTCAGGCTGGGCACCGGCACCACCACCTCTTCCCGGCCCCAGCCCACGCCCTGCTGGGGGCGGGCCGGCCCTGGAGGGCCGAACTCTCCGGGCTGGCACAGGGCCGCCAGGACAGCCCAGGTCACACGTGGGGTCAGCAGAGGTACCACGAAGCTACCTTTTGGAATGATTGCTTGATTGTTTGGTTTTTTTTTAATCAGAGAAGCCTAGATAACTAATCTGCTTTTAATCATGACGTTTTAATCTACCTCTGTCTCTCCAACCATGCTGTCTCTGGACTGAGTGAGAGGAGGAGGAGGGAGCCCGCCAGCCGCCGCCGGCAGCTGCTCCCCACAGTCCGATAAGCTGGAAGCGCAGCTCGCTGCTGGCTCTCCAAACGAATGCCCACTCCCCACCGTTCTCCCCGGCCCCTCCCATGTCACTTTCCTCCTCCCCTCTGACCCCAGGCCCCTCAGTCCAAGCTTGGAAAACCTTCACCTCATCTTAAGTGGAATTCAAATATATTTATTTTTATACTGAAACCAACTTCTCTCCCATCGTCAGGTGGCTCGGACCATGGTTACTCCCTGCCCCCCGCCTGGCTAGACAGCAGGGCGTCCACAGCTCACAGATGGGCCCTCCTCATCAGAAGCCCCTTCTTGCCAGCCCCTCTCCACCTCCACCCACCAGTCCCTCCTCGCTTCTGGTGATGGGAGGCCTCTCTCGGCTTGGCTCTCTCTCTCCCATCTCAGTAGCTGCTCTGAGGTGCTGACACTCGCATTAACCCTGGTTTCCTTCCCCACCCTCCGCGCGGTACCGAGGTCATGCCAACACAGATGTGAACGAGGGGCCGGGGCAGGCTGGGAGGGCGCGCAGGGCTGTCCACGGACAGGTGCCCTGCTGGCACGCCCTCGCGCTCCCCACACCCACTCTGTTCGGAGAATGTGGGGACATCGCCCCTCCTGCCCTCGCCTCCTAACAGATGTGGTGTCGCCCAGCAGACTCCGGCCAGGGTCCTCCATGGGGCTGCAGGCCTCTTGGGAGGAATTGTGGGAACTGGGAGCCCTGTCTGGCTTGAGAACAGCCCTGCTGCCCTTTTTGAGCCGAGATTTTGAAGTGGATGCCTGTCTTGCCAGAAATGCTGTTCTCACCAGAATGCCCCCATCCCATGCTCCCTCACTGGACTTGGCCCTGCCCAGTGCCAAGCAGACCTTCCCCGGCCTCCCCACCATCCCCCTTGGAAAGGCCAAGTGTTCCCCTCCGGGCAGCCCTGGCCCTTGGGCCCTTCCTGCCTGTCCTTGCTCCCCATTGGGAAGTGCAAGGTCTGTGCGACTTGTCTCCCAGTGTGAGCTGCCCTCTCCCAAAAGCTGACTCACTGTGAGTGACTTGGGCAAGTTCCCAAACCTCCTCGTGCCTCAGTTTCCCCATCTGGAAAAAATGGGGCCACCTCTTGCCAGCAGTAGCAGGGCCACCCATGCCCCTTCCTCCCCATACCCTTCTCCCAGCTCTTGGGCATCTCGTGCCTCTGCCTCAGTGGGTCTGAGGGAGCCCACTGAGCCCCTCACTTACTCCCCGTGGGCACCAAGCTCTGCCCTCTCAGACGTTGCTGTTGAGAACCAGGGTGTCCTGCTGTGGGTCGGATGCCCTCCTTCTATATTTATTTCAAAAAGAAGTCTCCTACGGGAATAGAAATGCAGTCCAGTCCAGGGTGCCCACCCTGTGACTCCCTCCGGTGAGGGCTCAGCTGTGCCCTTGCCCAGCAGCCGGCCAGACCTTCTGGGCTGCCGGCCACGTGTGGTCTTTCTCCTCCTCTTCAAAGCAATATCCTCCAGGTCTACGAAGCCCTCAGACAGAGATCAGCCACATGGCTGATTGCATTGCTAGCAAAGCAGACAAGAGGAGGTTGGGTCTGCCCTCACTGACGGTCACACGCTGAGAGAAGTCCAATTGTAAAGAAACAAAACAGAAAAAGTCACAAAAAAATTTGTATAAAGACGTATTTTTGTACTACATGGGGACTCTTCCTGCATGTGAGCAATAAAACTTCCTGATCTGGAGCCACCGTGGCTGTACCGTGTGCTGTTCTTGCCCTCCTCACCTGCGTGTCTCCCGCCAGCCGTTCTCCCTCCATCCCAGCAGAAGGGGCAGGATCCCTGCAGCTCCTGGCTCTGCCACCAGGTGCGCTGGATAGGCGCCCCACCACCACCACCACAGCAGCCACCTGGCCACAGGCCATCACTGGCTTGGATAGGGGAAGGGCCAGAACTGCCGAGCATTCTCCCGACAGGCTGGCCCAGCCTCCCCCAAAGTGCCCAAGGGGAAGCTCCCCGCTTGGCCTGGCTCAGCCCCGACCTATGCAGTGCAGGAAGTAGGCGTGCCTGCTGCTTGCAGAGTATTGATCCTCTTCCCCTGCCAAACCCCCATCAGGATGGGGAGGACTTAGCCAGACAGAGACCACTTATGTGCCCACATGCCCTCCCAGGGCAGCTGGGGTAATAAGGGCCAGGCCAGGCCCTTTCCTGAACCACCCGCTCCTTCCCCTCCCTCAGGAGCCAAGGGGCTTCCTTCCTCTCTTCTTTCCTTCCTTCCTTTGCTTAAATTTAGACTTTACAGATCGAGCGTTGGCACGTGAAGCTAGAGGTAGTCTGGCCCCTCCCGGGCCTCCACTGGGCCCAGCCAGACTTGCCTTTGTGTCCAGGACCCACACAGGCCAGGCCCAGGCAGGTCACAGCGGGAGCAGAGGTCCTCGCAGGAGAAGCCTCTTCCCAGTCTGTCCGCACAGCCAGAGGGGCACCTCTCCAAGATGTGAGAAGACCCTGCAAACGCTTCAGAGCAGGCGCCCAGGCCTCCTCCATGCCTTCACCCACAGCCCCACACCCACGTGGCTCCCATCTTCCTGTCCCCTCCCGCATGGATGGGAACTGTGCCCACTTCACCTGGCCCACATCTACCAGCCCCCCATCTACCTGCCGAGCTGCCCTGGCCGTACCTCCCTCCCAACCCAGCACTGCCAGCTGCCGCCCTGACCTTGGCTACATTTCAGCCTTCCTCCCGTCCACACCTGATCAGCCTTCGTTGTGTGCCTGGTATCTCCTAAACTCCTACAAGCATCAGGCTTACCTTCAGCAATACCCAGATGGCAGGCTGCATGAGGGCAGGGACTGTCTTTATATGTATATTTCTTTATTGATTTCAGAGAGGAAGGGAGAGGGAGCGAGAGAGAAACATCAATGATAAGGGAGTCATTGATCGGCTGCCTCCTGCATACCCCCCGCTGGGGATTGAGCCCACAACCTGGGCATGAGCTCTTGGCCGGAATCGAACCTGGGACCCTTCAGTCTGAAGACCAACACTCTACCCACTGAGCCAAACCCACAGGGCGGTCAGGCACTGTCTTGCTCACTCTTGTATCCCAGCACCTAGAAGGGCACGCATCTCGCACGCCAGAACCGTGTGGTCAACACCCTCGTATGCTCCTCAGAAATCAGACAAAATGAGAAGCTTCTGCTGGTTGAAGTCACTGCCTGGTCTCCTGCCCTCAGAGGAAGCAGTTTCTGAGAGAAGCCAGCCGGCTGCCCTGGGAAAGGAAGTCAGGAGGTGGCGTCTCTCTCCACGGCTGAGCTGTTCAGGCTCCCAAGCCACGTCAGCTGTGATCGCTGGTCTCTCTCCCCCACACTCCCTGGCCTCCCCGCGACCACCGTCTGAGGCCTGAGCCCCTTCTCTCACTTCCTGTCCTCCCGGTGCCCTGTGGCAGCCCAGCCACCCAGCAGTCAGTGTGCCTTTAAAGGGATTATTTCCTTCTCCTCTACTCACACCCCCCTGATGGCCTCTGCCCCGGGCCACCCAGAGGCCTGTCTGAGGCTTAGAAAGCTCTACATCACCAGGCTCTAACCTGGCCTCCTCCCTAACTTCTCAGCCCCTCACCCCCCACCCCCCACCCGAGACTCAGCCGCAAGGGCCTTCTTGCTGATTCTGACCAAGCCAAGCCCCGCTTCCACCACAAGGCCTTTCATTGGCTCTTCTCTCTGGAAGGCTCTTCCCCTAGATTTGCATGGCTCCTCCCTCACTTCCCTCTGCTCAAAATGTCAGCTCCTCAGAGATTTTGGTGGGAGGTTAAGGGTTGAGAGAGCTACACCTGGTCTGTAGCCCTTTATCCTCCTTCACTCTTCTTTGTGCTCAGCACAGCCCAACATTCTATTACCTATTCGACTAGTGAGTGCATGTCTCCCGGGCTCCAATGCTGAGCTCCCGGCAGGCAGGAATCTCCTCTGTGTGTCCATGTGGGGCTGGGGATTTGGGGGGCTGGCTGTCACTGTGACTTGGGGGAGGGGGGAGTTGCCACTGGCATTGAGAGGGTGGGGGCGAGGGACTCCAGACAACCCTCCAAGGAAGGCAGATTCTACCTCCTGCACAACATGGGTGAAAACTTGTTTATAATCTCCAGAGCCAAGAATCTAACTCCTCTTTACACATAAACACACAAAGGCCTCGTGTGTACATAGCGTACACTGAGTTCTCGAGGAATGCAACTACTGGGCAGAGTGGAAGAAGTCTGTACTTCTTGTTGTTCAGAATTTTACCAAGAATTCTTCACCGTTTCGACACTACCACCTCCACAGTAGCCCAGGAGGAGTGACTACACTCAGAGCTGCCGCCTTTGCAGATCCGTATCGTTATCGTTATCCTGTATTTCTTTTGTATTATGACATGCATGCGTGTGCATTTTAAATTAGATGTGGATTCCGAAACCAGTTTGGCTCAGTGGATAGAGTTTCAGCCTATGGACTGAAAGGACCCAGGTTCAATTCCGGTCAAGGGCATGTACCTTGGTTGCGGGCACATCCCAAGTGGGGGTGTGCAGGAGGCAGCTGGTCAATGTTTCTCTCTCATCAATGTTTCTAACTTTCTATCCCTCTCCCTTTCTCTCTGTGAAAAATAAATATATTTTTTTTAAATAAATAAATTAGATGTAGAGGTGGGTATATCAGTCATACGTTTCATTCAGGAGCATAAAAGGGGCAGCACAAAGGATTGTGACAAGGCAGCACTGGGGCTGACAGGGTAGAACCGTGACCTGTGAAGATGGTTGGGAACAGGGCTCTGAGGTTTGAAGGACACCCATGTGACTGCACATATATGACTCAACCTCTCTGAACCCCACTATCCTCGTCTGTAAAATGGAGTCACCCTACAAACTACCTGGTTCCTGGGAGGTTAGCAGAGTGTCAGGTGCCGAGAGTGTTCTCAGTAGCCATTACTATTCTTCATTCTATAAACTCTCAGGCTGCCCTCCTCCCAGCAGCTGTTCTGGGTGCTGGAGCAGCAGTCAGAGGACAGGCTGGGTGTAGGAGCCCTTGAATGAGTCCTTTTCTCTCCCCATCAAAGACCTAGGCAGCCTCAGACCCCCCGCCCCCCGCGGGGTGAGGCCCCAGTGTCAGGAGCAGAGCAGCAGGACCAGCCCCAGGTTGGCTGCTGGGGAGGGGAGCAGTTGGCTTGGCATTAGGCCCTGAATATGCCGGTCCCCGTAGGCCCCACCCAGAGACTCTGGCTCTCTCAACCCCTGACCTCCCACCAAGACCCGTCTTTCCCATGGTTCATCTGAGGATCACTCTGTGCCTCCCAAGGTGACAGATCTCTATCTCACACCAACAGGAGGGCAGAGAGGCGGCCAGCATGTGGGCAGCAGCAGGTCAGCCACAGGCCAGCAGACAGGACAATCAGCAGGCAAATAGAGGGGATGCGAGCCAGGCAGGCAAGGACAGACATGCAGAGATCAGAGAGGTCCCGGTCAGCACGCCGGGAAAACAGGTGGCTGAGCAGACAGGCCGGCGGGCAGGGAGAGGCAGGCAGAAAAGCAGATAGGCAGGTGGCCAGGAGGACACGTGGGCTGTGCAGATGGCCACACGGGCCAGAACCTGTGGGCATCTCCCCCTGGGTCCCAGGAGCAGCCCACAGCTTCTTCCAACCCTCCAGAGCAAGGCGGTCACTCCTCCCCCGGCCTGGCTTGGTCACATGCATCCCCTGCCATGTGTCACTTCCTGAAGGGACTGGCCACCACCTCAGCCCCCACTCTGCTCCAGTGTGGCCACCCGCCTCACCCGGACTGAGTGAGACCACGCCAAACACAGGCCACCACCAACCAGACACAGCTTTGTCTGTGGGCAGTGATTCCTAGGGATCTGCCTAGCACAGGGATACACGGAAACAGCTTAGCACAAACATACCCAAATCTCACAGCTGCCCCTCACAGAGAGGCACAGACACACATGGAGACAGGCACATGTATGTGCCACGCAAAGGCACATTCCCTCCCCCCAGCACCCAGGGTAAGTCACAAGCACGGCCAAAACACATTAATCTTCGCATGGATGGTAGGCACTCAGCGCATTGGTACAACCACGGACACCCACCAATATCCCCGCCAGGGGCCAGATCTTGGCCTCGCCTTCGCCTCGCGGCCCAGGTTGACGTGGTTGATGGCGTCCTGGTCAGGTCTTCCTCCCCCGTCACTCGTCTGTCCTTCCTGACACCTCCTCCCCAGAACCCCTCAAGGCTGGAGCTTCCAGGGTTCGGGCTGCAGACCCTTTCTCTTCTCACCCCCTCCATGGTGTTCAGTCCATCTTGGGTGTCAAGCTCGCAAGCACATTTCCAGCCCAGACATAGGGCTTCACCTCCCTGCCTCCCCCGGTGTCTACTGGGCATGTCAAATCTATCCGAAAAGAAACTCAGATTGCCCCACACCTGCTCCCGCCTAGACTTCCCTCAGGTGTGTGGGCCCAGTACCAAGCAGCTGTCCCGTATCCCTCTCGCCTTGGCGTCCACATCCCAGGCAGGACGTCCTGTGGACACTCCCTTCAAAACGCCGCCTGAATGGATCCTGTCTCCCTCCTCCCCAGCCCAGCCCGGTCCAAGCCCGCACCCACGCTGAGCCCCCACAGGGATCTCTCCAACGCGTGTCACCAAACCGTGACCCTCTCCTGACTCCAGGGGCTCCGTGACACGCACACCTAGCTCCTCCACAGGGTGCAGGGACCCTAAGAGGGCCCTCGCCCTCCTTCCTGCCCCACACTCCGCCCAGATCCTGCATGGCTGCCCCCGCAGGATCTAGCTCTCACCTCAGATGCCGCCTGGAGAGCTGCCCAGGAGTTCCCCATCACAGGGCCCTGTGCCAGCATCCTCCGAGCACTCGGCCGCACCGGCGGCTCTCCTTCACGTTCGTCTGTCTGTCCACCTCAGGGTCAGCTCCATGAGACAAAGATTCGTGTCTGTCTGTCCACCGCTGACCCCCCCCATTGCTAGGAGATGCTAACAGGGCGCTCAGTTGGCCTCTGTTGACGAGAGGCTGTACAGGTTTCTACATAGACATGCCCACCCCCACAAAGACGCTCACGCAGACACAACATTGAAAATAGACGCCCCGATATACAGATACAGGCAGAAATAGTGCCGAATGCTCACAAAACAGACTACACCGTCACAGAGATGCCCAGGGGTCCCTCTCCCACCCCCAGGGGAGCCAGTGCTAGTCCTTTCTCCACTTGATCTGCCCTCTGCATGAACCCAGGCTCAGGACTTGGAGTGGGGGGTCTTCAGCCTGAAGGGAGAGAGGGGGGTCACTGGCCCACAGGCCTCAGGCAGCGCCTTCAGCTATGTCTGCAATTTCCTCTCCCCCCTTCCTTCCCTCCTCCTCTCTCAGGCTCCCGCCAAGAAGGCCTCCCCCTCACCCCAGCCCCAGCACAGGAAGGGGGCCCGGAGGGGGGGCTGGGAGTCTGGGCAGGAAGAAGACCTGGGCCCACACACTGATCACACCACACACTGCATGCACAGGCCCTGAGCCCGTGTGGAAACGCATGTGCACAGGCAGGCGTTGCCAGAAGGAAAAGGTATTTTTGCCACACACTCCGGTGCGGGCCACGGGGCCCTCGGAGGCCCCAGGCTGGGTTCTGTAAGGCTGGCCTTGCAGCCTGGCTCGCAGCCTGAGTCCAGCACTCATTAACCCTGCTGACCGGTTCTCAGCCCGCCGGACACCCTCACCGCGGGGCCCTGGGAAAGGGGAAGGGAGTCCCTGCCCTCGGTGTGGCTGGAGGGTCTGGGGGAGCTGACAAAGCAGGCGGTCCTGCCTGGGTGAGGCAACTTCCTGGGAGGAAGAGCTGGGCAGAGGGACAGGGTCAGGAGCCCAGCCAGGCTCCAGGTCAGAGAACAGCGGGTTCAAATCCTGCCCGTTTGGTAGTTTTTCAATCCGTGACTCAGTTTACTTATCTGCCAAGTGGGGATGACACGCAATACAGGATTATTAAGGATTAAATAAAATAACTTTGAAAAGGTTTTATTTAGCTCATTGCCTGGCACCTAGTCAGAACTCCATCCTCCTCGATATTATTATTGTTGTTATTAGCAGCCTGGGGGCGGGCCCCTGGACCCCGCCTCCCCTGCGGTTTCCTGCAGGGGGGTGGGGGGACCAGGCGCCCCGCGGGCCTCGCTCCCCCTCCTCTCCCCTTCCTCCGCCGGCCGTTCCCTCCCCGCCTCCCCCGCCGCCCCGCCCCGTCCCTCCTCTTTCCTCGGAGGAAACTCTCCGCGGCTGGTCCATCGCCGTGTCCGGCCCGCGCTGCGCGGCCTGGGAGCCCGCGGACCGGACCGGACGGGGCGGGAGCGCCGGGCCGGGGTGGGCGCCGCGGGCGCGGGGCCGGGGCGGAGAGACGGCGCTAAGGGCGGTGAGTGAGCCGGGCCGGCGCCCGGGGCGGGCGGCGGGATGGGGAGGGAGTCGGCCTCCCCTCCGGGAGCTCGCCCTGGGAGGCGGAAGGCACTGCGCTCCTCCATCTCGCTCTCGGGACAGCGAACCCGGGCCTCTATCGGGGGGCGGGGGAGGGTGATGGGGGGGCCTCCCGCGGCCCACTCCCGGACCCGGGGTTGGCGGGGTGTCGGGGCGCGGGGAGTGGGGGGAGATCCCCGGACCCGGCCCAAGTCGGGACGCCGCACTCTCCGGGGTGGAACCCAGGGCCGCTCCTCCCGGGAGAGGACAGAGCGGGGGTCAGGGGCGGCTGGCGGCTGGGGAGCAGGATCTGATCAAACTCACTCGCAGGCTGGCAGGGGAGCAGCCCGCGGAGCAGCATGGATGCCCCCCGAAGAGACATGGAATTGCTCAGCAATAGCCTGGCGGCCTACGCTCATATCCGCGGTGAGGGCGCGCCTCTCCCTGCCCCTGAGGCCCCACTGCACCCCTTCCCCCCTTTCCTCATACTCACCCGCCCCCCCATAGCTAGCCCCTTGTACCAATTACCCCATCTCGCTGTCCCATTGCCCGAAGGCCTAATGTCCTTCCAACAGGGGGCACTGTCCTCGCCCCCAAACTTTAAACCCGGAGCCTTTCCCAGATGGAGTGACTCCCATCCGCGGGGCCCCTCCGTGACTTCCGCCCTCTGCCCCCAGCCAACCCGGAGAGCTTCGGCCTCTACTTCGTGCTGGGCGTCTGCTTCGGGCTGCTGCTCACGCTGTGCCTGCTGGTCCTCACCATCTCCTGCGCGCCCCGCCCGCGGCCGCGGCCCCCCGCGCGGCGCCGGGACCCGCGGGGCGCCCCGGAGGAGGACGACGACGACGAGGACGACGAGGAGGAGGACACGGTGACGCGGCTGGGCCCCGACGACACCCTGCCCGGCCCCGAGCTGTGCGCCGAGCCCGACGGCACCGCGAGCGTGAACGTGTTCACGTCGGCGGAGGAGCTGGAGCGCGCGCAGCGGCTGGAGGAGCGGGAGCGCATCCTGCGGGAGATCTGGCGCACCGGGCAGCCCGACCTGCTGGGCGCCGGCACGCTGGGGCCCGGGCCCGCGGCCACGGGCACGCTGGGCCGCGTGCACTACTACTGAGCCGCCCGGCCCGGCCACGGGCGCTCTGGTGCTGGACCTGCACCCGGGCTCACGGCGGACCGGGACCTGCCGGCGGCCCTGCCCGCCCGCCCCCGGCTCCCACGGTGCTACTGGGCGTGAACCCCCACCTCCGGGAGGCGCCCTTCCCCGTCCTGCCTGGAGACCCTGGGGGGAGGGCAGGACACAGGGTCCCCACCCTCGCTCTAGGGGACGGTAGAGAGGTGAAGTGACCAATGAAAGCTGCATCCTCTGTTACTCCAGTGTCTCCCTCTGTTACTCCCGCCACTCCGTCCTCAGCACACTTCACTGACGGCAAAAACACTCTCTACCACGGCACCAGGCTCACCCAGAACAAGCATCACTCGACTTCCTTACTCACAAATGCACGCCTTACGCGCATGCTCCCGGGCACACGTCACCCCTGTCCCTCCACCAGCCCAGGCTCCACGCATCGCTGCGGCCACACAAACACCATGCCCGGGCGCCCGGCCGGGACGCGAAGGTGCCCCCGTGCAGCCACGCGTGCCCGCGCTGGGCCCTGGAGTCCGTGTCGGAGTGGAGAGAGGTGCGCTGTGAGTCCTTCGGGACGGCCAGCGGGGCCAGCGGGGAGGAGTCTGGGGTTGGAGAGCAGGGCTGCTGGCGCACAGCTGGATTCCGGAATCCGGCCGCAGGCAAAGCCTGACCCCGCCTGGGCCCGGGCCTGGGCCCCTCCTGCTCGCTGGCGTCCAAAGGAGACGCCGCCCCCTCCCCCCCCACCATCCGGTGGGTAAAAATAGCCGCGCACAAGCCTTGGGAACAGTAATGAGAGCCACATGTTGGCCAGATGTGCCAGGAAGAGACGGCCCGGAATGCGGAGCGCCGGCCCCGCCGTAAGGGCCGCAAGGGCCCGCCCCGCAAGGACCAGGCAGGCAGGGAGCGAACACAGCAAAGTTTACTTTCTCTCTAGGCTTTCCCGAAGTGGTGTGCCAGGACGCGGTGCCCGGAGGCAGCCTTCCCTCCAGGCTCCACCTTACTGCGACTGCGAGGGGCTGGGGCTTGGGGTCAGGAATTCCGCGTCGGTCCTCAGGTTCGAAGGAACCTGGTGGGGAGACGGCACCTGGTGGGGAGACGGCACCTGGTGGGGAGACGGCACCTGGTGGGGAGACGGAACCTGGTGGGGAGACGGCGTCAGGGGAGGGCCCGCCCCCAGCCCCCTTCCTGCCGGGATCCGGGGTTCGCACAGACCCACCTCCAGCACCCGGCGCCTCTCCCTCTCGCTCTTCAGTTCCTCCCAGAGGTCCATGAGCTTACTTCTGCAGAACAGAGGAGGAGGGGAAGGAGTGGGCCCGCCCTGCCCTTCTCCTTCCCACCCTCTCCAAATCCTCCCCCGACTTACTCCAGCAGCTCCCCCATCCGCTCCAGGTCCTTCCTCAAGGACTCCACCTCCTCCTGTAGCCTCGTCACCTCCTCCTGTAGCCTCGTCACCTCCTCTTTGTCAGTTTTGCTGAGCCTGGGACTTAGTGAGACCCGGGAAGGAAGGGTGGGAGTTCCTTGAGGGGCTGGAGCCGGCTTGGTGGGATGTGGATGCTTTTGAGCAGAGGCTACCTTTTTGGGGGAGGCCTCCTCTTTGGGGGTCATTTCCTCCTTCGAAGGAATCTTCTCCTGGAGGGTGGGGGGCTCTTCCAAGGGTTGGGCCGGATTCTCAAGGGGCCCTGACCTAGCCTCCAATGGGAGCGCAGAGCTGTCCTTCTTATCAAGGAGGGATCCCTCTGACTTATGGGCCACAGACTTGGTCTTGGACTTGGACTTGGACGGGGATGCTTCCGGAAAGGGATGGATCTGAGTGTTGTCCCCAGAAGAGGTCTCTTCCAAGAGCATCTGCTCAAAGGTCAAGGCCTTTTCTACGGACGAAGCCTCGTCCCCAGAAGAAACCAGCTTTGAGTAAAGGGCTTCGTCCTCAGGTGTGACAACCAGAGCAGGGACCTCGTACGCAGGAAAGTCCCCTTCTGGGTTGGGGGCCTTGCGTGGAGGCGGGGTCTTCTTTGGGGCGAGTGTCTTGCCCGGCGTAGCAGTTTTACTCCCAGGAGGGGCCTTTGCTCGGCTTTTCCGCTCTTCCTCCTGTGGCGATGGGGATCAGGTCTCAGCTGAGGGCTCTCCTCGGCCTGGGATCCTTCACCCGCCATACTCCTGGGAAGCAGGCTGCTCAGCCTCCCGCTCTGCCATGTTGCAGGCCTCTCACCTGAGTGTTTGCAGGTCGTTGCCGGGAAGTCTGGATTCTGGATCGCTTTCTGCCAATTTGGGCCGGAACCCCACCCAAGTGGCTGCTACTGGTGGCTATGAGAGCAGAATGTCAGGGGTCCGGGCGTAGTAGGATGCCAAGTCTCTTCCCATCGTCACCCAGTCCTCACCCAACTGAGAGAGGCAGCCAGACTTACCCAAGTCTCGGGAGGGGCGCTTCTGACCATCTCCACCAGGGGGCCTGCAACATATCCCCATCAGGCCCAGGGGTGCCACAGGCACAGCACTTCCTCTGCACCCTCATCCTTCCCCCAACCCCTCCCTGCTCCTTACTTGGCTTTGCTGGGCCCAGGCAGCTTCTTGACTGCAGGGAGGGCTGTTCTGGGCATCATCTTTCTTGATTCCTTAATAAGAGCTGGGAGGGAAGAGGTGAGTGCAGTATTTGTTCTCACTTATCCACCCGCCTCAGCCCTGCCCTGTGATGTGCACAGGGGTCAGGGACAGGTGGTGAGTCATGTGACTCCGCCTCGGGAGCTTTGGGGGAGCTGACCACCTTCATGCCACAGGAGCATAGGGAACTGTGGGAGCACCCCAAAGGCTTCGTGGGGGAGATGGCTCCAAATACTGGCAGTTTTTCAATCCACGCTTTTCTAAGCCCTGTCCCTGCTTAGTGTCATGACTGGTTCAGACTTCATTTCTGTCCTGGACCATGGCAAGACCTTCTAGTTCACCCTCCCTTCAACTTCTTCATCTTTCCATCTCATTTACTCCCTAAGAAATCCCACCCAGCCCTAGCTGGTTTGGCTCGGTGGATAGCGTCAGCATGCGGACTTAAGGGTCCCGGGTTCAATTCCGGTCAGGAGCACATGCCCCAGTTGCAGGTCAGTCCCCAGTGGGGGGGGTGCAAGAGGCAGCCAATGAATCATTCTCTCTCATCATTGATGTTTCTATCTCTCTCTCTCCCTCTTCCTTCCTCTCTGAAATCAATAAGAATATATATTAAAAAAGAAAAAAAAGAAATCCCATCCAGTCTCACGGGCTTAATTATCAGCAATAACCCAAGGACTCCAACATTTCCATTTCTAGTTCCTTCCTCTTCCCGGAACTCCACACTCAGATCTGACTGTCCTCCCATGATTGAGAGCTAATTGGCCTCACACACTTAACATGTTCAAAACCTATCTCTTGCTCCCCAAACTCTTGGTTCCCTGAATCTGCCCCTTTCCCAGTGTTCCCCATCTCACCCAATCGCCCACTGCTATACGACCAAGTGAGGAGTGACCCTTTTATACCTTTATGCTGCACACATCCAGCTCTTCAGCAAGTCCCGTCTGCTCTATCTGTAAAGCATGTCCTCCCCCCACCTCTTTTCACTCCTAATCAAGTCACCACCATCTTCACCTGGACTGGCCCAACGGCCTCCAAGCTGGGCTTTGGCTGTACTCACCCTGCCTCTGGCTTATTCTTCCCGCAGCAGCTTCAGTGAGCTCATGTTCTAGTGGGGAAACAGGCACAAACCAGAGAAGGAAAACACGCAGCGGGTTAGAGAGCAGGACACATGGTTGAGGAAGGATAAGAATCACTTTAAACGGGGTGGTCAGGAAAGGCCACACGGAGGCGACATGGGCGTGAACACCGGGAGGCCGTCACACACATGGAGGGTCACATCCATAGGCACACACGCAGCCACCTGAAACGTTACCCACGCACGCGTCATCACAGACACACGCACAAATCCCCGGACAATGGGCAAGAGCATGGGTTCTATAACCGGACACCAGGCTTTGAATTCTTGCTCCATGTCTTGCCAGTTATGAGAAAACCTGGGTAGGTAAGTTAACCTGTAGCCCAATGTCCTCATCCATAAAACACGGATGAGCACAGGACACATCTTGTAGGGTTATTGTGAAGTCTGAGGGACTGAATCCATATGAAGTACTTTGGATTAGTATTATAGAAGAGTGTTTGGCATATATAATAATCAAAGCTCATAAAAATGTGTTGTTTTTTTAGCCCTCGCTGGTTTGGCTCAGTGGATAGAGCATTGGCCTGCGGACTGAAGGGTTTGATTCTGATCAAAGGCACAGGCCTGGGCTTCAGGCTCGATCCCCAGTAGGGGGCATGCAGGAGGCAGCCAATTAATGATTCTCTCTCCTCCTTCATCATGGTTGTTTCTCTCTCTTCCCCCCTCCCCTCTCTTCCTCTCTGAAATCAATAAAAATATATTAAAATATATATATTAAAAATGTGGGTGTTTTTTTTTAATCAGGGTGACATTGGTTAATAAAATTATATAGGTTTCAGGTGTCCAATGCTATAATACATCATCTGTATATCACCCAGTGTGCTCACCATCCCAAGTCAAGTCTCCTTTCATTAAAATGGTAACTTTGAAAAATAAATAAATAATAAAATAAAATAAAATGGAAACTTTGACCTCTGCTTCCTGTAGAATGACTAATGAGGTGCCCTGTGGGGATCTTCCACTAGATGTAATTGCTATTATACCCTGCTTAGGATACAATTTGGGGGCACTGTTGGACTTAAAAGAGGTAGGAGAGGTGCAGAGAAAGGGAGAAACGGGGGCCAGACGTAGAAGGCAGTCCTCTCTGAAAGAAATCTTCCCCAACCACGGCGTGCAAGACGCCCACAGACTGAGAGCACGTGCCCCCACACAACGATCATAACATATAAGACAGGCCAGTGAGAGCAGTCGGCAGACACAGCACACAACACGCCTGGAATTGTCAGGTGGAAAATACAGCACAACCCTCTGTAACCTATTGAAAGAAATACAGGATGAGCCTGCAACAAATGAGCCATCAGGAGTAAGCAGGCAGATATAAGGAAAGGGGAACAAAAGAAAGTAGAAAGCTAAACTACCCGAGGTGAAAACAGCACTCCTGAAATAAAATACAATGTATAAATTAAACAGCAGATCAAACATAATCAAAAAGCTAGAGAGAGAATTACTCAACTAGAAGTAATTCTAGTGAAAAACTTGAAAGCAGTGTTTTAAAAAACGGGGAGTAGAAACAGGGATTTACTATGGCTGTTAGTGGACAAATCTGCACCTACACAGCTATAAAACTGGACAAAAATGACAAAGCAACCATTTCAGTGCTCTGGAAACTGACCGAAGGCTGAAATAATCTGAGAAGCATTTATGCTTGGTGGGTTCTTGCCTACTCCTCCCCTCTGCCACACTCCTCCCCATCCCCCAGCCCACATTGACTTTTGAGTGTGGGGCAGGTTGAGGATCAGAAAGTTCACTGTCATGGATGAAGGGAACTCAATCAATTTGAGGTATAACATTGGACTTGGCATGGTTTCATAGATATGATACCAAAACCACAAGCAACCAAAGAAAAAAATAGATAAATGGGACTTCATCAAAATTAAAAATTTTTGTGCATTAAAGGATGCTATCGAAAAAGTAAAAAGTTACCCTGGCTGGGTGGCTCAGTTGATTGGAACATCATCCCATGTACCAAAAGGTTGCAGATTTTACCTAGATTGCAGAGTCCATCACTGCAGAGCGCATACAGGAGGCAATAGATCAATATTAATGTTTCTCTTTCTCTTTCTCTCTCTCTCAAGTCAATTAAAATATAAGTAAATAAAAATGCTAAAGGGACTGCTGTAATGAAAAGAAGAAATAGAGAGAGAAACCTAGGCATACAGAATTAAAATAAGTACCTATCAATAATAACTCTAAATGTAAATGCATTAAATGTTCCAATCAAAAAGCATAGGGTAGCTAAATGATACAAAAATATGACCCAACTATATGCTGTCTACAAGAGACCCACCTCAGAACAGAAGACACAGACAGGATAAGAATGAAGGGATGGAAAAAATGTTTCATGCAAACGGAAAAGAAAAAAAAAAGCTGGAGTAGCAATACTCATCTCTGACAAAATAATTTCAAAATGAAAGCCATCATAAGAGATAACAAAGGTCACTACATAATATTAAAGGGATCGATCCAACAAGAGGATATAACCCTGGTAAACATATATGTACCCAATATAGGAACACCTAAATATATATATTTTTTAAAAACTTAGAGGATTTTAACCGAGAGATCAACAACAATACAGTCACAGTAGGGGATTTGAACACCCCACTGACTTCACTGGACAGATCCTCCAGATAAAACCTTAACAAGGAAACAGTGACGCTAAAGGACACACTGGACCAAATGGGTTTAATTGACCTTTATAGGACATTTCACCCCAAAGCTGCAGAATATACATTCTTCTCAAGTGCACATGGATCATTCACAAAGATAGACCACATGTTAGGACACAAAACAAGTCTTACAAGTTCAAGTAGATTGAAATCATATCAAAGCATCTTCTCAGATAACAGTGGAATGAAATTAGATACCAACTATACTTGTCCTAGCTGGTTTGTCTCAGTGGATAGAGCATCAGCATAGGAACCTAAGGGACCTGGGTTTGATTGAGGTCAAGGCACATTCCTTGGTTCCAGGCTCCTCCCCAGTCCAGGGTCTGGTCAGGGCTTGTGCAGGAGGCAACCAATCGATGTGTTTCTCTCACATCAATGTTTCTCTCTGTCTTTCCCTCTCTCTTCCACTCTCCCTAAAAAATCAATTGGGAGGTGGGGGTGAATATCCTTGGGCGAGGATTAACAACAATAACAAAAAAAGAAATCAGCTACAATAAAAACATCCAAAAACATTCAAGCACATGGAAGTTAAATAGCATGCTATTAAACACTGATAGCTGCATTCTCAAGACATACAGAGAAACATGAACATATTGATACATACAAACATTGGTCTACATACATTCCTATCAGATCCTTAACTCGGGAGGATGGAGCTCCCAAGTGGGAGTACTAGACCACTGGGGAACTGTGGGCGTTTATGGCCTGCTGGGCCTCCCAGACAATGCCCCTCCAATCCCCGGCCTCCAGGGCACCCACCTGAATCTTGCGATACCATTTTTCGTGGGAGCAGCTTCTTGATCTGTGCAAAAAAGAAGTATCAGAATCTGAAGAGAAGCCCCACATTTCTAGGTCCACCCTCATTTAGGGGTGACCCTACAGCTGTATCCAATGAGCATCATGACCCCCAACTTTGTCTGGAGTAGCTTGCCTGCCCCCTGTCTCCCTACACACACACACACACACACACACACACACACACACACACACACCAGAGTGTCCAGCTCTGTACTCACTGGGGGTGGTGGGAGCACAAAGTTGTCTGGGAAAACTCCTCTTTTGCCTTGAGACTCTCCTTCCCACCAGCCCTCATCGTCTGTGACCTGGAGAGAAAAGATGCTGGGGAGAGGTGTGCCAGGTCCTCCAGCTCCTCCCTCCCCAGGCCCCGCCCCTTCTCAGCAGGCCCTTCCCTACACCCTCCCCTGCCTGGGCCTCTCATACCTTCCTCAGCACCTTCACCTCGTCCCCCCTCCGCAGTGCCAGCTCATCTGGGGCCTCCGGCTGGTAGTCAAACAGGGCCCTGTAGGTCTCAGGGTAGAAGACTGAGGGGAGGTCAGTCCTCTGAAGCCAAATCCCCACCCCAAATCAAGTCTTCAGATCCCTCCTCCATCAGCCTAGCGCGACCCTCACTTCCGGAAGTGAAAGTGCTTTGGGAAGGGGCTACCCAAGGGATTATCTGGCTGGGTGCTCACCTGACCGAAGGAAGTCTGGAGGGTTGTCACAGGTCAGGCTGTTCATCTAGTGAGAGCAGGGAGAGGGAGGAACAAGCTGAACCTCCAATCCCCCCTCATAACCCTCGCCAGTGCCCCATGAGGAACTCCCCACCTCTTTACCCACAATTTACCTTGGGCGGTTGCTGAGGATCAAGGAAGATTGAAGGCATGCCTGGGTTACCAAGGCCTGGTGAAGGAAAGGGAGGTCAGGGTGTGTGTGTGTGTTAATTCATAGGTTGGGTCACAGAAGAGGTGAAAGGGGTCACAAAGTCAAGGTGTGTGGATCAGCCACTGGGAGGGTCATGGGAGACTGCAGTCTGGTCACAGGGTTTCACGGGGTCATCGGGTCCAGGTCTCACTTGGGGGCCCACTGTCCTCCAGCAACTCCACGAAGTTGGATGGAAAGGCTCCCAGCTGCCCATTCTTCTTTCCCAGCCACCAGCCGTCCTCAATCTGGGGAGGGAGAGGATGCAGAGGTTCCTGGTTCTGCCCCAGGAATCTTTCTAGACATCGCTCTTGGTTCTGCCCAATGACCCCCTCCATCCTTGCTCCCTCACCATTCCCACCACTTTACCCCCCCCCCACCCGTGGGTGTGCTCCATCCTCTCTCCCCCTCAAGCCCTCTCATCACCTTATCCTCTCACCTCCTTAATCACTTCCACAATCTCCCCAGCTTGCAACTTCAGCTCGTCTGCCTGCTCCGGGCTGTAGCTGAAGTTCACTTTGCACCATTTTTGGGAGCTCCGAGATTTGGCGGGGCGACCTGGGGTGGGAAGTGACTGAGAACGCGGAGGCAGAGCGGCCCAGTCCGCGGAGCTGGGGGAGGTGCGTGCCTCCAGCCCCGCTCGGGGCGGGGCATTGTGCTTGAGAACCAATCACAGGCCGCAGAGCGGCCAAGCAGCCCCGCCCACAGAGACGCCCGCGGGCCGGAGTGGGCCGCGGAGCAGCGATGGCTCCGCGCCCGGCCCGGCAGGCTCTTACCTCGGCTGCGCGCACGGCGTGGTCTCGGCGCCTCTCCCGCGCCGCGCAGAGCCTCCGGGATCTCCTGGAAATGAGGGCCCGGGAGAGGGGGCGCTCAGCTCCCCAGGCGGAGGGCTCGGACGCCCCGCCAAGTAGACCCCCCCAGGGCTCACCTGCACCAGGCGCTCCGGGAAGAAGCCGCAGTGGCCCCCCAGCTCCCCGCGCAGCCAGCCCCGCGCGGGGCCCTGGCACACCTGCCGGACCACGTCCCCCGGCGCCAGGCTCAGCTCACCCTCCTTCTGCGCACGGTACCCGGCCAGCACCAGCACCTCTGAGGGCGGAAGCGCGGCTCAGGAGGGCCCAGGCCAGGCCCCCGGCCCCGGCGCGAGTCCGGCCCCGCGTTGGGGAGAGCGGGTGGTGGTGGAGGTTTTTGTTGCCATTTCCACACGGTTGCGTAGAGGACCCACCCCAAGCCTTCCGCACATACCCATCGCTTCCGGGACGCCCTCCGGAGCCGGGCAGGGAGGACTGCGATCCCGCGGGCGGCGGAGTACTGGGCTGGGTAGGCTGGGACGAGCTGCGAGACTGAAGCAAAAGAGGCGGAGACACAGGCGGATAGGATAGGTCCCGCTCCAGGTGCTGAGAGTGGGTGTGGGAGAGGGGGCGGCCCGGCTCAGCAGGTTTGGCCCCCAACCCAGGGGTGAGGAATCCAAGGTCTCCGGCCGGCGCTGAGGTTACAGCTCCCAGGTCACAGCTCCCCCATTTGCTCTCGCCTGCCCACGCGCCTAAACTTTCAGTCCAGCTTCCTCCGGTCCTCCTAACCTTAGCCCCGAGGCTCCCACCCACCTCTGGCAGAGCCTTCCCAGCCTATCCTCTCCCTGCTGGCAAGCCTTTAGCTGCAGGGGAAAAAGTGGGGAGAGGCACATACCTGGGCGGGGCCCCCCTGCAGGCAGGAACCGCTCCTTCGCGGGAGCTGAGTGGAAGAGGTGGTTGTTCTGGTGCCCACAAAGCTACTGGTATGCTCTGCTTTCCCTGGGAGGGCGGGCTCCCGGCTAGTGCAGAGGAAGGGCGCACTCTTCCTTTGGTTTCAGAAAACACCTCCAGATTCTTTCAGTGCTTCTGCTGGTTACAGCCAGCCCAGAGCTGGCCAGGGCTGAAAGGCAGGGTCCACCTAGTGCCAATCCCATGTGGGCTAGGCTCACTTTCACTTAATATTTTTAACGTATTTTTATTCATTTCAGAGAGGGAGAGGGATAAAAACATTGATGAGGGAATCATTGACTGCCTCCTGTATGCCCCCCCTCCCCCTTAATGGGGATAGAGCCAAACCAGGCTTGTGCTCTGTGCTCTGACTGGGATTCCAACTGTGATCACCTGGACACTCAACCACTGAGCCATACCAGCCAGGTGCTTTCAGGTAACCTTGCTGCTCAGAGGAAAACACACAAGGCCGCGTGTTATCCACACCCCTTGGCCCCCGCCCTAGCACCTTGGAAGCCAAAGTCCTTGCTCATGCATGTCACACCACAGTGAAAAAAATCTGGTTCTCCTGAGGTGTCCAAGACAGAATAAAGTAAAACCACTGGGATGAGAATGCAGTCATAAGCTCCTCCCAGGTTGAGTGTGAGACTGGTGAGGTTCGGGCTGGGCAAGTTTGAGTCCAGCCCCCACAGACATTTTCTGTTCCAGATTCCCTATAGGAGATATCCGCCCCCACGAACGTGCAACACCCCCCCCATCCCCAATAATCAGAGTCCATTTACACCTGCCACTTCATTTATTTTTATTTGCAGGAGGAGTTGAAACAAATCTTTAAGGGGGGTTTCCCCTTAAACATGAATCAAGTAAAACCAACTTAACTATAGAAATGTAGCAAAGTAAGGGTAAAAGTAGCACAACAACCCAAGAGGCAAAGGTTGGGGGGGCGGGGGAGAGGTGGGTGCAGTCCGCATATACCATATGCGTAAGTGCCATATGATTCACCTGCTCAGGACCGCCTCCCCGGAAGGCAAGCACAAGGACCCATTTTAAGAGGATGTTTCCCCCCCCAAACATCTGAGAATGCTTCAACTTAAAGCTTAAGGTTAAAAAGGAAAAAAAAAAAAGAACCCCACAAACCACCCAGCCATACCACCTTCCTTAATCAATCATAGGAGTTTCTTTTCATTTTATAAAAAGATTAATAAAAAATATTGAAAAAATTATTTTCTCATCTTATATTTGTAAAGACAATAGAATCCAGAGTTTCTTAGAAAACAGACCAGAAACCGTCACCCCGTTCCCACCACCGCGGCCGAGGTCAGTGGGCTGGAACACTGGGACACCGGAGCTGCTGGTGGAGAACGGGAAGCCCGCCCAGAAGAAATCAAAGTATTGGGGGAGGGGCATGTGGGGTGTGGTTAGGAGCAATACCATGTGATACATGGCTACGCAGAAAAGGGGAACACAAGGTGGTCAGAAAGGCCTTGAACTCCTCCTCTACCTACAAAACCAATTTTTACAAAGATCCAAGCAGTTGGTCCCAAACTGAGATGAACATTTCAATGTTTATTCACATGCTTTGTTTTCTCTTTTAAGAATCAGGATCAAAAGTTGTCCAAATTAAATCTTTCTGCTAATGTTACTATATGCCTTTAAAAAAAAAGGGAAAAAAAAGAGGGCTTTAAAAACCAGGAAAAGAAATTAAAAATCATCAAATTAGTCCTCTTAGCTCCAAATGAAATGAAAATTAAGAACAAAACTGGTTTCTAATAGGAAACAAACCAAAATCCAAGTATCGCTCTCCCCTCCCTGCCCCAGTCCCCACCCCACACACCAACAACAAATGAGAAACACAGCTAAAAGCCCAATGTGCTGTGTTCTGCTCAAAAACTGGGTGGGCCTGACCAGGCTCCATGGCCAGCCGCCGCCGTGCAGTGGGACCCTGCGCCAGGGATGCGTTCAGCTACAGCAGCATTCTGCATGGCTGGTGGGGGGTTTTCAGAATCTTCCTGGGGCTCTTCTGTTTAGTTCACCAGCCATTTCCTAGCGCCTGTCCCCCCTGGGTAGGAGCTCCGATCGCAACGGCCCCTACTCAGTGGTGGGTTGTAAATTGTCCTTCTCTTCTCGGTTCTCTGTCCCACTCTCGTCGTCTTCTATCTCCCCTTCTTCCCCACTGAACTTGTCGTGGGCCCATTTGGGGCTGGTGCTGGATTTCCGAAACATGAACCTGCCCCGACCTCGGGGGAAGGCTCCTCGGCCGCGGCCGCGGCCCCCCCACTTCTCACTGCCTTCGCCTTCACGGTCGTCATGCTAAAAGGAAAGAAAACTGCCATCAATGCCAGAGTTAACAAGTAGCCAGAACCGTCCTCTGTACCTACCCCCAAATGTCTTTCTCAAACGAACCTATGTCCAGACCTCCCTTTGCTCCTTCTCCATCCTCCTCCTCTTCCCCACTCCTAAGACACTACTGATTCAGATCCAACAGAACATTCAGGTGGGTACGCTGGGAATGCTAAGACAGTAGCTTGGGCTTTATAATAATGATGATAAAATCTTCACTGAGCTTTCAGAAAGACCTGTACATACATTATCTCATTTAACCCTTACATCTACCCTGTCATTATCACCCTCCACTATGCAAATGAGTAAACAGGCTTAGGAACTTTAACTCATTATTTACTTAGTACACCATCTCGCAAAGGATGAGTTTGAGAATGCCAATCACACCAAAATATGAAACTGTGTCTGATCTAGGTTGTCAGGTAGCTCACAGAAGCAATCCTCAAATACACATAGCTACGCTACAGTTCATCCCATCCAACCCCAGCCTCAGCCCAGAACAGACAGCAAAACCAAGAGTAAATTCGTTGCCCATGGTCTCAGACTTAGTGGCCAAGTCAGGACCAGAACCCAGTCTCCTGTCTTGTATTGCCCATCATCTTTAGTTTTATGTAAGGAGGAGGTGTGGCAGAGTAGGAAAAACACAACCTACACCTCTAACAACCCCACTCTGACCATTTCACCAGAGAGGAGGCAGCCAATGAAAAATGAATGAGAATTTTGAAAAGTAGGAGTCATTGCTAAGTCATCAGCCCCATGGCTTCAACCACCCACCCATGCAATAGGGGAAAGCTCTTGGGGGTCAGCCAGGGAAAGGGCCAGCTGCTTCCTACCAGGGTTCTTGTTTACTTGGCTAAATGCATCAGGTGGGTGATGCTGCCTTAGGTGGCAAGCAGGAGCAGGAAAAAGGGCTCCCCCTATAGCAATCCCACTCTAGGACCTATCCTGGACCCAGTCAACATTTCCCTAAATCCAGACTCAAGGGTTCTTGAGGAATCTCAAAGCAGCTCCCAGCAGCCCTAGAAAAGGGAAGGGGGCTGTGCAGAGCCATCTACACAACAGCCTGTTTTCTAGTTATGCAAATGACATCTCAGACCCATGCCAGCCCTTCTCCTAGACGATGAAGACTCAGCTCCAGGTTTACCTTCATCACAACACTCAGAGGCACATCTCTCTGTTTGGATCTAAGCCTGCTATTGACATACCAAGGCCAAGAGACTTGACGCACTAGCCAGTAATTCAGCCTAGAAGAGCCCTAACCTGAGGGAGGGGAGCGAGGTCCAGAGTGCCTGGTACCTGACACTGACCAACAGCTTAGATGAGAGAAGCCCCAGTGGCATTTCCTTTTGGAGACAGAGATCCTGAGCTATCTTCCCTGTCAATCCTGCATTGTCAAGTGACCGAGTGGAACTGTGGCTTAAGGTAAGGGTTATAGCTTTATTCCTGAGTAGAGACTGAAGGGAGGCCGAGATCGGGATGAGTGAGCAATAAACAAGTCACAAACTAAAAAGGGAAAAGCAACTCTTCTTGTTTACCTTAGAATCCATGTATGTCTCAAGTGACAAACCCTTGAGGCCAGGGCTGCCTCTCAGAGAATACTCATCTTGCCAGCACTCTACTGCCCCCAAGGACACGTCCCGCCCAGAACAAGATGCCTCCACACGTAATCAGTTCTGAACAGACCGAACATACCAACCAAAGCCTTGGTATCAGCTATTATGTATGCCAAAGGCCCTGGCCCTTCCTGGTTATCCCGACACATACCAAGTAATACTTCTTGCTCTTGGGCGTGTACTCGGGGTCCCACTCCTCTTCTCGGCTTCTCTTTTGAAAATCATTGTTGCTGTTATTGTTGTTGTTTCCAGAGTAGCTGCCTCTGCCCCAGCCTCTACCTCTGGCTCGAAATTGCTGTGGCATAAAAAGGGAAAGGGAACAAAGGACCATGTCAGGAACGGAGAAAATCAGTGCCCTGCATTCTGTTCAAGCACATTTCTGGCACGGAATACTGTTGTCCTACAGTCAATATGCTGCTCCACTGGTTTCTAGCCAATTCCTTTCTGTTCACCTAAGGTCTATTGCCTAGAAAGAGGACAATATGGCACCAGGGCCTCCAGGCACAGCAGGAGTCAAGGTAAGTTGGGAAATTCTGAGACTAAAAGCCCTAAGAGGCTTTCTAGTGTCTAGCTCAGCAATTATGACGGTGAAATACAAGCAGAAAGCCGGGGGAATGGGGAACCACATTCTAATGGCTCGGGAGACTGATTACTTATGTTAAGGGCAACCAAACTGGTATTCTGATAAACACATCATTAGAATTGGTGGGAGCAGGTGGTGAGAGAGAAGGGATGACAGCAGGGTCTTACAAAGGTCCCTCGAGCTCTGCCTCCTCTTTCATTTGGACCCACAAAGTCTTTGGTCCCCAGTCTTGATTTGTCAAAGCCAGTGGTGCTCTCCTCTCTCTCCTCGGTTTCTTCAGTGTACTCCTCCGCTTTGTAGGAGTGGGATGACTGGGAGGAAGAGGATGATGATCTGGACCGGTCTCGTGTTCTCCGGTGCTTCCTATGAAAACAGAAGACCCAGGAAAAAGCAATAAACCTCTTGGCTTGGGCCTCCTGGCTAAGGAGCACAGGGCAATCAGGAATGTGTCTGTGATGAAGGCATTGAAAATGAATAACCTAAAAACCTCAATTCATCCCACCTTACCCACCCAGGATACCTAGGGAGATCCTAATTCTGTCAGTTGTGTTCACTAACACATCTACGCCTGAGCCTGTGATGAATCCATGGCCTCTGGCAGTTCAGTTTAGTGCATATGCATGAAATAGAAAAGCAGAAGAAAGCTTACCCTGTGCTGAGAGTCCCATGTATATGATACTGGGACAGAGGCTTCCTATATTAGCATCTAGCTGTGCTTTCTAGGACTTTATTTCTCATAGGAAGAACACTACCTATATTTCCTGGGGTTACTCGAACACTTTACACTGACATAGCAAGCACAAAGTAAATGGCAACTCTGATTATTCAGTAGCATTCCATTTTCCAGGTGACAGAGCTGAGCAGAACCTGGATTCAAACCTACTTCTAATTATACTACTGCTCCACATGCCACCTCACTCTGAGCTCAAACAGGGTATTATTAAGCACAAAATCTGGCAGAACCTTCCCAGTGATCTCCCTACCTTCCCTTCATCTGATGGAAATTACAGACTACGGCAAAGGAGATTACTGCGATGAGTCACTGTCTACGTACTAAAGGTCAGGGCCAGCCCTGCGTCTAGGGGAGGTTGCCTCTAAGGTGGCAGAAAGGCCAGGCTCCCAGGGGTGGAAAGGAGTTACAGGGAGAAGCCAACCAAGTGTCAGTGGCCTATCACTGTCCTCCCTTCCCTCACCCTCCTCCATTAGGAAAAGCACACTGCCCGCTCCCACAATTTCTCTCTCTCTCTTACTCTCTGAAATCAATAAAGTAATATATTAAATTAAAAAATTTTTTTTTAAATAACTTCTCTGGTTTGGCTCAGTGGAGTGTCACCTGAGGACTGAAGGATCCCAGCTTCGATATCCAGTAAGGGCGTGCAGAAGGCAGTGATTCTTTCTCATCATTGATGTTTCTCTCTCTCTCTCTCCCTCTCCTTCCTCTCAGAAATCAAATAATCTCTCTTGGAAATGTCTGCTAACTTAGTTTAAAAAGCACTAAGATCAACAATCTTGTCCTAACTAGTTCCACAGCTTGTTTGACCAGTGTTGTTACCTGATAATGACTTTAAGCCATTTTTAAAAATATATATATTTTATTGATTTTGTACAGAGAGGAAGAGAGAGGGATAGTCAGAAACATCAATGAGAGAGAGTCATCTATCAGCTGCCTCCTGCACAGCCCCTACTGGGGATATGCCCGCAACCAAGGTACATGCCCTTGACCGGAATCGAACCCGGGACCCGTCTTCAGTCCCCCCAACGCTGTATCCATTGAGCCAAACCAGTTTCGGCACTTTAAGCCATTTCTGAAACATAACCTCCCCATGAAGATTTGTGATGAGTAAGAATATCTAAAACAGCTACAAAACGAATCCCCACATGATTTCCCACTCCCGTAGCCGAACTGGCTGGCCATCTCCCAGCAGCAGGCCTTTGGAGAAGGTTCATACCCACACTGACAGGTTTGGTGTAGAGCCTACAAGGGGGCAGATGAGACTCCATTCAGGAATCTGAATGAGGCGACAGGGGCTCACGTACTTTTGCTTCTTTGATCCTTTATGGGTTTTCTCTGTTTTCTCGGCTGATCTTTCCCTTGAGTGGCTTGAGTCTCGGGAATCCACTGATTCTCTTGATTTACCTCGTTTAAGATCTCTCTCCTTATGTTTTTTACGACGTTCAATATCAAGGCGGAGATCAACAGGATCATCTTTGTATTTCCCCTCAGCCTGGCAAAAGAAAATCAAAATGAAGGTTTCTGGGGTTCAGGGCTGCCAACTCAACCACCCCATAAACTGTGGTTTCTACTCCGATGGAGTGGTGCAGAGCGAGAAATGGGAGTGTGAGGCACCTCACCCAAGCTTGGGGGGGATGCAGATGTCCCAAGAAGTCACTTCATAAGGATCCCTCCCTCAGATCCCAAATTACAGTTCTCCAAAGTAATAATGGTAGCCTTCTAAACATGCTTTATACTTGGGGGGATAAGGACACATAAGTAATACCTTAATCAATAAAGAATCTTTTTTAAAAAATAAATCTAAATATACTCTATATTGATCTTGCTTCGTTTCCTCCGCAGCCTCGTAACGATCTGGCTAGCCTACAAGTTGAGAAGGTCAAATCAGTTCTAGAAAGTGGTTGGTTAAGGCTGACTCCTGCTTACTCACCAGCAAAAATAGAAAGGCATGTGTTACCCTTTTTCTACCTACAATGTAGCAGCTACCCCACACTTATCCTAGACCTGGAATCATGTCTGAGTACTGAGTCCAAAGACAGACAATGGGAGCCTTAAACAGCCTACCTAACTGGTTGATTATACTGAGAATTTCTCTAGAGAAGAAGTATCAATAATGTAGGGAGTACCATAATTTCATAAAGTGGCAAACTTAGGTCAAAGTTTTTTGTTTTGTTTTTCAAAGGAAAAAGAAGAAAAAATCTTCTAGGAAGTGTAACCACCAGGGCAGGGGAGTTGCAGACAATATGACCAGCACTGCAGGGGTCCCACTAAGGGGAAACTTAGTGAGAGCAGAGATGCAAGGTGATTTCAAGAACATTATACACTAAGCCTTGTCTCCTGGGACTAACACCTCCTTAAAAGAGCAAGAACTGAGCAGTTCACTCTGTATTATAAATATTTCACTTATACTAAGCTTTTTGTTGAAATAAAAGTTTAATTTTAACAGGAGTGGTAGGTATTAAGTTTATTTTATTTCCATTGTTTTTGAGGGGGGAATCTCTGCACCCTCCAAAGACTAAAGAAACACGAGACAAAAGTAGACGCTTCTCCCTCAGGCGGTGCACATATCATCTCTAATGAGCTGGCTTTGTGAGGCAGAGATGAGGTGTCTTCTGGGTTTCAAAACCTTGCTTTTCACATGTTAGTGTCAATCTGGTGGACACTTCAAGAAAAAGAAAAAGGGATGGGAGAGAAGAGAGATTGTGCAAGAGTGCCTCTCATCACATTAGACCAACAAGACAAATTGTTTAGAAAACTTGAAGAGTAATTAAAATTTTTAGAAAGGTTTCAGCAGCATTGAAAGAGCCAACTTTGAATTTTAAATTTCAACTGCATATGTGAATGAAGGTCAATAAATACTAAGATTTTTTTTAAAGCACCAAATCTAGTATTTCACATTAAAAAAGTGCATATAAGCTTTAACGTGCACATCATTGCAAATGTAGCTGGGCTATCAAAGTAATGTTTAGCTTCAAAGTAACAGTAACCAACAGATGATAGATATGGTACAATGTTAGAAAAAACTGGACTAGCTGTTTAAAACAGTCTACTAAGTTAAGATATGAATATTTCACTCTCCTCTGACATGCATGTCTTTTTTAAATCATGGTCGGAAATAGTGCATGTATATAGTTGATTTGATAATACTTACAAGCAGAAAAATATCACAAAAAGTTTCTTCTCTCATCATGGGCACTTGTTCCAAAACTCCTTTTTTTTTCTCAAGCTCACCTCAATAGACTTTGGGGTCATTTACCATATTCTAACCACTTCACAAAGGTTGTTGATACATTTAATAAAAATTAACCCTTTGTAGTTCATTTTTAGAATTATGCCCATCCTTAAAAGAAAAACACAAACTTAAGTAGAGAGTAATTTAAACAAACACATTTCTGTCAAGTTCATGCCCAACGCACTCATTTTGTCGGAATTACTGATCAAAGCAACAGTTCACCTTGTAGCCAGGTTCCCGGGGACTTTTCATTTCATCATGAGCCAATCCATGTTTCCTGAACGTACTGGGGGAAATGTCTATCCTCCTACAATTGAAAACACAAAAAAATTTTAATATCCACAGTGTGACTATAATACAGGTAATATTTTAGTTTAGAATTTGGTAATGGAGTCATAGGCATTCCTTTTTATGTTTCATAACTTACATATTACTTATATTCTTTGCATTCTTACCCTCTCTGTGCACAAAGCACACAAAATCTAAAACTTCTCAAACTCAAACAGTAATGTTACATTCAGGAAGGCAGACTCACAGACAAGCTTATGATTTCAAGTTCATGTCAAGATTATCTATAGAATCCTGGCCTGGAAGCTCAATTAGTTAGAGCCGTGGTCTGCAAATTGCGGCTCTTTGGCCCCTCAAGTGTGGCTCTTCCACAAAATACTACGGCCTGGGCGAGTCTATTTTAAAGAAATGGCATTAGAAAAAGTTTGTTTAAAAATTTGACTCTCAAAAGAAATTTCAATTGCTGACTAATGAGTTTGCCCATCACTGAATTAGCGCATCGTCCTGACAAGCCAAGGTTGTGAGTTTGATCCCCAGTCAGGGCATATACAACCAACTTAATGCATAAATAAGTGAAAAAAAACAAATCAATGTTTCTCCCTACCCACTGCCTTTCCTCTCTAAAACCAACCAACCAACCAATCAATAAGTTGGGTTTTTTTTGAAGGACAATCTATATGTTCTATTAACAAGTTTCACGTTGGAAATTAGAATGTAATGGCCCATTATTCACCAATGAGATAGGTCTAGAGGAGAAACATTTGCCCAGCATAACCCTAAATCCAAGACTACTGTACAAACGTGGTCCTACCAATTATAGGTAGTTCCATTCACAACTACAAACATCCACTTCTTTCCTAAATCTGCAGGGTGTTACCTTAAATTCTACTGCTAATGTGGCAAAGATAGTTTAATATCTGATGATCAGTCTTTTTAAAAAAATATATTTTATTGATTTTTTACAGAGAGGAAGGGAGAGAAATAGAGAGCCAGAAACATTGATGAGAAAGAAACATCGATCATCTGCCTCCTGCACACCCCCCACTGGGGATGTGTCCCCAACCAAGATACATGCCCTTGACTGGGACCTTTCAATCCGCAGGCCGACACTCTATCCACTGAGCCAAACCGGTTTGGGCTTGATGATCAGTCTTTTAAGACCACCTCCAACGTAGGGTTGAGGTCCTCACCTGTGAATCTCTGGGCTTTTCTTGTTCTTAGCTGCCTCTTGCTCAGTTCCTCTCTTTAGGTACTTAGTAAAGCGTTCATGCAATGTCATTCCCGAGGACCCAAAGTGATGCTCTGTGGGGATTCAAAGACAAACACATTAATGCCATCAAAGGCAGACATAAGACTCATAATATCAACTCTTTTATATGAACCTGCAGCTACAGAGATGTGACTAAAATATTCAAATCTACATAACAAACATACTGAAAAGAGAAAGGAAAAAAGGATGGTTTGCACAATCCAATGTTGGGCACTAGCTCCCTTATCTTAAGACATGGATACAGCCGAAACCGGTTTGGCTCAATGGATAGAGCGTCGGCTTGGGGATTAAAGGGTCCCGGGTTCGATTCCGGTCAAGGGCATGTACCTTGGTTTCGGGCATATCCCCAGTGGGGGGTGTGCAGGAGGCAGCTGATCAATGACTCTCTCTCATCAATGTTTCTAACTATCTCTCTCCCTTCCTCTCTGTACAAAAATTTAAAAAAAAAAAAAAAAAAAAAAAAAAAAAAGACATGGATACGAAGAAACCTGGAGCTTACTATCATTTGAATCACACCACCAACTCCTGCTTAAGTTTAAATTTCAGATGGAACCTATAACTGGCACAACCAAGCTTCTATATCATCTCTCTGTCATTCCCCAACCCGCCCACCTCTATTTGCACCCTTATGGTGGAGAAAAAAATTCACACACAGCATAAAGACAAGAGGCTTCTTCTTAGTGGACAAGAGAGGACAGAGGTGTGGGTAAAACCACTTTTCATACTTGCTTTTACAAGCATTTTAAGCCTTCATGTGGAAGATTTTACCAATTCTCATCAAAGAAGACAACTAACAATTCAAAACGTTCAGCTCTGTAATTAAAAAATGGAAGCTCCTCGCTGAAATGGATTTCTTACAGTCAGTCCCTTGCTTCAAAGGCCCTTTAATAAGATAAAGGGCCTGATAAAGCTCCCTTATTCAACCACTCATCCTTCTGCTTGCAATAGAGGAAGCTAAGCTGTGGCAAGGGATCCTGAGCAGACTGGGATTGGGACTTACCTTTAACGTGGTGAACAATGGTCACAATGTGCTGGGCAAACAGTTCCGAGGGGCTCCGCTGAGACTGAGCTGACTGTATGTGCTGGAAAATGGAACGGAATTCTTGTTCCTTTTTGTTGCTATGAACTAGATCCCGAGAAAGCTTGCGCTCCTGAGCCAGTAATCCACTGGGTCTGGGGGTAGGACACACAAGGGGGTTCCATTTAACAAGATATACAGGAAGTCAATGAATATGTATACAATGCCTTTGTTCAAAGCGTTTTAATTTTATCCACAAAGTTCTTTTTTTAAATTCAAAGTAATCTCAATGCACAACTATGGAAAAAGGCATCCAAAATCTATCGCTTCCTTTTTTTCACTAGTACTTTTTAATAGAAAGGGTTAAACCTCAGTGATTCTGTTTTTGGCATCACTGCTGGCTTTACCATACACAGCAAATGAGAATGTATTTAAAAGATCGACTAGTTTGGCCAGCCAGAGCTATTCAGTGAGTCAACACAATGAAACAGAAGTGAAATGTGGCTCCTGCTAACTTCCAACAGGCTGCAAAGTTTTTACATTATCCCAAGTTAAAAATAGCCTGGCCTCACCCTAGCTGGTTTTGCTCAGTGGATAGAGCATCGGCCTGCGAACTGACAGATCCTAGATTCAATTCTGGTCAAGGGCACATACCCGGGTTGTGAGCTCAATCCCCAGTGGGGGATTTGCAGGAGGCAGCTAGTCCATGATTCTCTCTCATCATGGATGTTTCTCTCCCCTCCCCCCTTCCTTCCTCTCTGAAAAGAAAAAAAAAAAAAAGCCTGGCCTCTTCCTCCTCCAGAATGCAGCAGAGGTAACCTCTGAAAATGGTTGCTATTCACTTGACCCAGAAACCCCCTACAAAAATCATCAAATCATGAGGTTCAAATCTTTTTGTTCACTTTCATAACACTTGTGAAACTGCCAGGTCATCAAGAGTACACATGTCCAAAACCCACCAAGGATCTGAAGGATGTCACTTTCCAGAAGCAATGTGTGTCATCCCATCGTTACACTGTGGAGCTGGTAGGTGTGCCCAGGTGAAACAGTGGGGCTGGACACAGGGTCAGTGGCCCAGAGAGTGCTGAATGATTGCTGCACGTGCTAAACAATGCAGAAAGCCTCTTATGCTGAGTTTAAGGGTTTAGGATGTAGAGTCTCTGGTCATTGAGCACATCCAGGTGAACAAAGCTCCCAAGATGTGTTGTGGAACATACAGAGCTCATGGGCATATTAACCCATACATGAGCTCCCCTTGCCTCATTGAGAGGATCCTTAGGGAAAACATGCAGATTGTTTCTAAACCACAAGAGGAGGTTGCACAGAAGAAAAAGATATCCCAGAAGAAACCAAAGAAACAAAACTCATGGCCCGGGAGTAAGTTCAACATAAATATTAATAAAAATAAACAACAAAACCAGTCTTGCCATCACTACACTAAAAAAACTAACACAAATTAAAATTTTTTTAGAAATTCCTAAAGTAGTACTCCTACTCACAGCCCCAACTCTAAAAACTGTCACATTATTTCTTGGTGAAGGCCTATAAAAATAGGCTCTAGGAGCCTAATAAAAATGGAAAAATAGATCCTGGATGGCTGTACAGGCCAAAGGCACCTTAAGCAATTCATGAGTGTGTGTGTGTATGTGTGTGTGTGGAATAAAACAAAACGAACAAAAACAGGATGAAGGCTGGGAAGGCGAGGAGGGGCTAGGGGCTGGATAGAGGCCGGAAAACAGCAGAGGGGACCCAACACCAAAACCAGTCACTGAAGAAACACCCTTCACCATCCCTGTGATACTGACTTCAACACATAATAGCTTAGTGACACACACTCCCCACTGACAGGTATGGACCTGAGGGATCTATCAGCTGTGAAACTTGGGACAGGGGGAAAATACAAGAGGGGCCTGTCTTGGTTCCAGAATGTCCTCAGGAACAGAGGATAGGAGGCACCATTTAGGCCACTGATCAAGGTCTAAACCTCACCTTGCAAGGTCCTCATCAAAAGAGTCCATCCGGACATTGACCTGGGCCTCTCGAGTAATAGAAAAGGAAGACTTCCCTGTGGAAAAGTCTCCTTTGGCTCCTAGTTTCTCCCGGCTCTCAGAGGTCTTCCTTGGGGGGGGTGATGAGCTTTTCTCCTGGACCGCTTTGTAAGCAGTCACTCGGAAATTCTTTTCAGGCACAAACCCCCTGTGCCCACTTTCGGTTCTCTTGACTCCTCCCCGATCCTCCTTTTTGGATCTCTCTGAGAAAGAATCTTCCTCCAGCTCCTCTGTTTTCCTTTGTTTTTCCTTCCCTGAAGGTGCATACACTTCCCATTTGCCTGACTTCTCATCCTCCTGGTTTTTGTTTGCACCGGCTATGACTTTCGACATAAATTTGGGTTCATCATCAAACTCAGATTCCTTCCTTCCTTTGGCTTTGTCCTTATCTTGGTCATCCATGTCTTCCTTGTGGAAATCAGCCATCTTCTTCTCAAAGTCATCTCGGAGCTTGTATCTTTTAGGGGACTGACTACCCCGAAAAGGCTTCTCAGAATCAGTTTTGGGAGCAAACATATCAGATTTTATTTTCGAATCACTCAAGCCTGTGTCAGAGAAGCTCCCTTTCTCTTTCATTTTCTCTTTATCAGTATTTGTTTGTTTCTGTTCCTTATCTTTTCCATTCTCTGTCTTCTGCTCATCTAGATACCTGGTTGTAAAAACAAAAGGGCGACACACAAGAGGCTTCTTAAGCAACCTGATCTAAAACAGCACCACCGGTCTTGGGTTTTTGAATCTCTAAATAAACATGTCTCGTGGATTCCAGTGTTACCAAAGGATTTTCTCCTTGGCTACTTTCTAGTAATGTAAGAGAAAAATACATGGTCCATGGAGTTGTGTCTTACAAAAGCAACCAAAAAGAAAATAACAAAGGTAATTTTTAGGATACTAAAAAACAAAAACCTACTTACCTGTATGTAGTCTAGGAAAAAAAAAAAAATAAGGTCTTATCCAACCTTCATTCAGTCACTTATAATCTGCTTTCAGCAAAATTAACATAGAATGTTCAACCTTGGATTGTTTTGCTTTTATATAACACACATTTGGAAATACAAGTCTCAAAAGAGACTTCAAATTTGCTTCAAGTCACCTAGAAGATCTAAATATGAAATATACTGCAAACACAAATAAAAACAAAACATGTGTTAATTGAGAGCAGGGGGGGATCATCCTACTCTTTCTTATGGAAAGGCAGAGCTCATACCCAAGTCTTCTAAAGACATTCACAGTTCTGGCAAGGAACCAAACTTACATTTTAAAGTAGACCTACTTAAGGCTGGAAAGTAGATTCTCAACATCTCATTTGCACTATTAATGGATAATATGGTAAAACAGAATCAAAGGACAGCAGGATATCAAAGAATAATGGGAGAAAAGAAAAAGGGAAAAATACCCCTTGCTCGGTAAATCCCTCTTGACAACCTGGTTCCAAGCCAACGTCCTGTTATGTCTCTGCTGTCCCAATCCATACAATCACACAAAGATTCAGGTTCCAACTCACCATGTCCCCCAGGGTATAAAGATGAAAGCACTGTCCCATCCTCTCCTAACATGCAGCCCAGTTGGCTTCTCCTGGGAATACACCCACCTTGTGATTTTAAAACAAGGCCTTCCTGGACTAAGCCTTGGACTTTCCCATTCTGCACAGTCTCCTCAACTGGAGGGTGTGAGGGTGCAGCTCTTCACCACGAGGGGCTGATGCAGATCAATCACAGTAGATGGTGGTTCTTAGCGGGTCTAACAGCTCCAATGGCCATTCATTTTGGCAAAGATCATATTTTTTGATAGCTGACCCACAAATCTCTACTGTTCTCTGGCTTACATTGGTAGAATCCAAGGCAAATTTTTAAATGTGAAAACATCATTTCAGAGTAGTTTAAAGAAACTTTATGCTGCAATACAAATTCAGGAAGGTAGGAAAGCTAGAGTTAAGCTTAAGATGTCCTTAGGTGATGCTTTTCAATTTTGCTAATGAAAAGTTTAGGAATGGGGATTAACTTTTTACCATTAATCACAGCTCTAACTTAAATAACATTACAATCAAACTGCCAGCTGGTGAAATAAAAACATAACCAGGCCAGGCAAACAAGATACTTGCCTCTTTGTATAGGCTGCTCCTCCTGAAGCAGCCTCCTCCTTCTGAGACGAGCCATATGTGGAGCCAGTGGCTGGTGGACTCTTACCCACAGGGCTCTTCTTGGATGGACTCAAGGACCCAGAGCCATGGTCAAACTGACCTTGGTGTGTCCCAGCTTGGTACCCAGAACCACTCTGCAGACCTGAGCCCATCTGGGATGTGCTGGAAAGTGGAGGGCTAGGCTTTGGCACAGGGCTGGGACGGGGAGACCGCCGCCTCACTACCACAGATTGGAGGGGGCTTTTAAGAGCAGGGCTCCGCTCCCGAGGACTCAGCTCAGAAACAGATGCCCGTGATGCAGAACCAGCACTGTATGTGCTGCCATCTGCCCATGGCTTCGAGCTCTCAGATGCCTTTGTATCTTGAGAGCTGCCTCCAGAGAAACTCTGCTCCTTGGCCTCTTCTCCTTGGTTATCTCCAGCAGACTGAGATGGTCGGCTATCCTTGGAAGAGGACTTTTTCTCCTTTGCAGACTTGCGCTTGGAAGATTCAACTCGGCTGTGGTTGGAGGAAGAACGAGAGGATGATGAGCGCCTTGACCTGTCAGAGGAAGACTTATCGGAGTTTCTAGAATGGCTCCTGGATCTTGGTGAAGGAGACCTTCTCTTCGGGGACCGGGATCGGGACCGGCCCCGTCGAGGACTGTATGCCTGCCGATAATTCTGCCAATTTGAGCGGTAGTTTCCATAGCCTCCTCGGTTATACTGGCCCCATGGATAAAAGCCTCTGTTGCGCCCACGGAAATAATAGGGCCTTCTATAGCCTCTGTTGTGACCTCGGAAATCCCGGTTCTGATAGACCCTTGGGTGATTCCTCTCTCTGTTATGAGCTGGAGAATATGATCTGGAACGAGACCTAGAACTGAAAAGGGGATGAAGGGAGAAGAAATGTTAGAATTTTGACATAAACATTTATTCTTGAAAAACCTGTCAAGAAAAAGTAACGTTTTGAAATTCCTGCTCATAGGGAGCACACTTAAATATTTAATCCCACTGCTTATGAATCATATTAAAAAAAAAAAGACAAATAAGAATCATTTTAACAAATGAGCTGCCAAGAATGCTTATTATTGAACATTTTATTTTTATAAGTCTTTATTACTGAATGTATTACATATGTCCCCTTTTTTCTTTTTCTTTTTTCCTTAAAATATATTTTATTGACTTTTTACAGAGAAGAAGAGAGGGATAGAGAGTTAGAAACATCAATGAGAAAGAAGCATCAATCAGCTGCCTCTTGCACACTCCCCACCGGGGATGTGCCCCCAACGAAGGTACATGCCCTTGATGAGATTGGAACCTGGGACCCTTCAGTCCGCAGGCTGACACTCTATCCACTGAGCCAAACCAGATTCAGCTGTCCCCTTTTTTCTTCCATTGACTCCTCATAGTCTGCCCCTGTCCCTCACTCCAGGCATAACACATTTAAGTAAGTAAAGCTATTTTTCTGCAGTGAAAGAATAGCAAAATGTCCTTAATGCAGTAAACTAAACAAAGGCTATATAGTGTACTAATTGCTTAGGGTTTTATACCACAGGGGATTTTACAAGAGCCTACATCATTGGAAGCAAGAAAGAACTACAAGCTATGACATCCAGTTAACTGTTCAGGTCCTTTGGCCCCAATACTGTTATAACACTCTACTCCCCATCCTATTCATCTGTATCTGTGCAGGGCCAATTTCTTAGATTCCACTAATGCCAGATCTAAATTAAAGCCACTTAACTAGGGACTTAGAAAAGCTTAGAACACAAAGTTTAAAAGATTTTTAACTGAAATCATATCAGCAAGACATATAAGTATTAGTTTTTACTGGGGACCTGGAAATGGTCTCACTATTTAGGTCAGTAACTGTGGCTGAACTACAGGAGATTAACTGTGTGCCACAAGAGGGCACTACTGACTGTAAGACACACAAGTGCACCAGAGATTAGCAGAGAAACTATAACACAACCCTTCCTTACCATGTACATCTTTCAAGTCAACCTAAAGCCTAAGATGTGTTCTTTATTGTTTAAAAATATAGAACTCTAGCCGAGGACGGTTTGGCTCAGTGGTGGAGGGTCGGTCTACAGACTGGGGGGTCCCAGGTTCGATTCCGGTCAAGGGCATGTACATTGGTTGCGGGCACTTCCCCAGTGAGGGGTGTGCAGGAGGCAGCTGGTCGATGTTTCTCTCTCATCGACGTTTCTAGCTCTCTATCTCTCTCCCTTCCTCTCTGTAAGAATAAAATAAATATATTTTTTAATATCTATATCTATCTATCTATCTATCTCTCTAACTTGGCAAAGGTACATTTCCAGAATCACAAGTATTCAATAGTAACCTAGCTTTGTAAAAAATTTATGTCCATGAATATCAGGCTTATCAATGACAGGGAGCTTCATTGATCAAAAAGCTAAAAACTGTATTTGTTGGTGTAAAAATCCACTAGGGTTTTTAGATAACACCTGTCTTGTCAACTAAAATACAGATCATTAACCACTACTCATAAGTAGTTAGTAGAAATATGTAAAATTGCTACAAAATGCTTTCCAAAAATATTTCTTTACATAAAGAATAAAAACCCTTCAGCAGGCCTCATAGCAGGTCTGACTGGAAACCGGTTGTTTTATAAATAACTCCATTTAGCAAATGTGACAGGATTTAACAAAATGACATTTAAAAAAAGAAATTTACACTAATTTAATCTAAAGACAAAGTGGGCTTGGTTTTCTATTATTACCTGCTGTGCTCAGGTTCTTTATCTACCCCAAGAACAAGAGCAACTGGCAAGATGCATAACACTGGTCATTAATGGTTGCTATTTAAGTCCAATTAAAAAAAAAAAAAAAAACTTACCTTCCACACTTTTCATTCGAAAATAGCACAATATTAAGAAAAGAAGAAGGAAGAGGCAGATGCAGGCTATGCAACTAATGTGACTGGATTAAGTGGCTACACTTGAGGGAGGTGCTATACAACCAAAGTAAGGAGGGTTTAATTCATGTTGCCATTCTCAGAGGTTACTGTTGTTTCTGTCACCAATTACTAGTGAAGGCCCTGTGGCATAGTGCATCCAAAACCAGCAATCACTGCACAGATGCAGGAACATGATTCTCTGCAGATTGCAAACGAAGTTATTTACAAAAAGTCACTTTAAAGGATACAGTCTGTGAAATATAAGGAAACAATCAATTTTCTCCATGAAACAGATAAGCCAGAACTGAATATCCATGGCAAATGTATCTGTTTCTAAAAGAGAAGTCACACCAGAATAAAGTCTAAAAGTATGTTTTCTAGTGGAGAAATTCCTCCAAAACAGTAATTTTCTAGGTATAAGGTAACAATAAAGGGGCTTTAGACCTACTCCAGCACATACTGCCTGCCTATATATTTTTCCTCATTTGCCAAGATGATGACCATGCCAATGATTTGTAGAATAAGCAGAAGAGATCTATCCAGACAGATCCTCTCAGTTCTATTTATCACAAATACCTCAGAGATAGTTAATATTTTTCAATTTGGCTTGTGTCAGTTCTATTTTGTCTTTGAGTTTTGGTTGTATAACCTTTTATCTTTTAACCAATTACTTAGTTTCCATTTACTAAATTAAAATATTACCTTTCAGAACCAAATAGGCTAAAACAGATTAAATCAGCCCAAATAAAGAACTCTGGCTGCTAGGTAGGAGTTACTAAGTCTTTTGCACAGTCCTAAGGCCCTGATGGTAACTTCCCAAGGTAGATATAAATTTACTTAGTGGGTTTTCCCTCTTCTTTTTTGGAGGGGTTAAGAAGGTGGGATAGAATTTTATTCATATTAGACTGACATGATTGGGCAACAGACAGACACTATTTAGTCTAGGATTGGAGGGAGTAGGGTGGAGGGGGGGTATGAATGCATGCCCAAAAAACATGATAGGGAGAAAAGAGTTGTTACCTTCAAGGTGAAATGTTATCTTTAAAAAGAAGGGGGGAAAAATCTAGTATTTATTTTGTTTGAGGGAAAAACTACAGATTTATAACTTCCTGTTCTATATTGTATTGAAGTCATCAATACTTATGTATACTTACTTTTTGTTCATCCTCTGATCTAGAACTAATTTTTAGGTAGGCTTCTCACAGATTCCATTTAAGAAATTAACTTGTTCTTTGGGGGGGGAGAAGTATCCCACCAACCATTTATTTAAGACTCTTTTAGAAGTACTATGAAACCATCGAAAAATAAAGCTTTTAATAGTACTTTTTCCTGAGGTTTATTTTAAATTCCATAATCAATCCATTTAAAAGAAAAGGATTATAAAGACTTATCAGAAATGATAGCAAGGGTCCCAAGTGGAAAAATTGATAAATTATCTCCTTGCCTAATGTAATTCTGACAAAAAATGTAATTGTGCAAAAATCCCCCTTTTGGTTTAAATACATCATTATTTTCCTAATGCACATACAGAAACTTGTGTCTACTGAAAGATTCTTATCTATTCACAAAAGAAAACTAAAACAGTTTTAAAGTCTGAAAAACCCAATTCACAACACATTGAACAGAAAAGATGCCGGAAGTTTGGCATCCCATTTCAGGATATAACTGAATTAGGGAAATCCCACTCAAAGGTGTGAAAACTGACTGAATTAAAGAATATTGGTAATAAATTTGAAAGAATTACTTGCACATTTAGTAAGATCAGGTGATGTCTACATAGTTATTTTTAGATTAGGTTTAAGATGTATTTACTAAAAAGATACAGTTTTATTAGTAATTGGCACATCAGTGTATACAAATGACTCCTGATACGTTTTTTAAGATCTATTTAGTGAGTTAAGGCTTCTTTTCCTTGCATTTTGATCATACTATTAATCCTCTTAGCTATCTTTTCTTTCACGATGAAAATAAACTTGTTCCAAGACTCCAAAATCAGTTCAATGAAAAATAATCAGATGTAGAGATTTAAAGTAAGCAGCTCAAATAAATATAAAATGCTCTTTCTTCCAAGGTAGATGAGAAATAGTATGTGTTCTGGCAGAGGAGAAAAGGAATTAGGCAAACAATATGTCAAGAGGAGCTGATTTAGATTTGTAGCATTTAAAGAAACCTGAAATTACTTACAGCTCCACCTCCCTCCACTCAGGCCAAACCCTGCCCCCTCCCCACCCAACCACCACCACCCGACATTCACAGAAAGAATCTAACAAAAGATCTTCAAAAACCCATCTGGCCTGCTACAACGATTATCTCAAAAGACAATCACACTCGCTTACCTCAGCCTTCGCTTCCTGGAACGAGAGACTGATCGACTTCGGGATCGAGACTTCGAAAATGACCGAGAACGAGATCTTGATGCAGATCTTGAGCGAGAAGAACGAGATCCAGACTTGGATTTGTTTGTTTTTGACATCTTTGAAGGAGAATCAATCACTTTTCAATGACACCTAATGTAACAAAAGAGATTCAAATAAATGAGTGCCTTTGCAAACCTGAACTTCTCTTAGAAACAGGTTTGGGGTTTTTTTTTTTTAATACAGATGAAATAACTGGTGTGTTCGTGTTCGTTCTCTCTCTCTCTCTCTCTCTCTCTCTTTCTCTCTTTCTCTCTCTACTTTCCTCAAGAACTTGTGGTTTAATTTAAGCAATACAATCCAAACAGACTCAAGCCACAACAGCAGATGGAAAACCTGACATATAATACAAACTGGGTAATGCTATAAAATACTGGCAAAAACGAGGAAAGCTAACAATATTTGGTGCACAGTCTTTTCGCAGTAAGCAAACAAGCTTTGCCAACTAAGATAGCTAACCTGAAATGACCTGAGACAGGATTCCCAGTTCTAACAGAAGAAACCATATGCAATGATATCTTGGTTATTGTCTATCTTGAAAATGGTACACATCTGACCATTTCTCTAATCCCGAGACCTTGAAATCATGAGTCATAGCCTTAATATTTATCTCCAAGGAAAAGGTTTTAAAAGTTCAAATATTTTAATGCCACAACATATAAGTACTGTATCTTATAAAAATATAGGATATTAATCCATATACATGGGACTAAAGTAATTTATAAAGTGAAGATCCATTACTTTCTTCTAGCTAGTTAGTATCACCTTTTTTTATGGTCGTTTTCTCTCATTAAAACACATACACACACACACACACACACACACACACACACACACACCAAAATTATCTTTTTCCTTCTCTTTCTCCTCTACAGGAATGAATAGAGAACTTCAAAGTTGCCCTGACTACTGGGTTTGGTCAGTAAAGTGCACTGTCAAGCTAACTCACTTATTCTCTTTATATCCTACTAGAACTTTGGGCATCTTCCAGTAGCAAAACATTGCAGTGCTAAAGCATGTGTCTACCAAAGACCAGGAAGAATAAGGGATCTGTCAAAGATCACAAAGCTAGTAAAGAGCCAAACAAGGCCAAAATGCCAGGGCTTTTTCCATCACACCTTGCCACCTCAATGCTTAGCAAAAGCTTCTAAGTGATGCTACTCCCAGCTTCTAAGGGAAAAATAATAATAAACAAATATTTCACCCTCCCCTACTCACATATTTTGTTATTCAGATCTCAGCTCAAAAGCTATCTGCTCAGAGGTTTTGCCCTGGCCACCCAAATCAAAACTTGCTACCAGTCATTCTATAGGATCTAATCCCATATTCCTTGTTGTTGTTGTTCGTTTTTTTTCCCTTCTGAGAACTCAATTCAGTACTTGAAAAATATCTTGCTTACTTTTTTGTTTTCTAACTTTACCCAACAAGAAGGTAAGCTTTCCACCAGCAGAAATCTCATCTTTCTTATATACTTCATGCCCAGAAGAGACCAGCTTTGAAATTTCTCTAAGCAGACAAAACCAGTTCAGTCAAACAAATAAAGCTTAATATAGCTTATTTTGCAAGTCTATCTTGACAGGTCCATTTCTTGCTTAAGCCTCTGGAAAATCACAAACAAAAAAGAACTGTTTCCCAAGGTTAATAGGAAGTATCACTGAACATTCTATTATTATAGCCAAACACTGTGAATCATAGTCACTGCTTTCTCACTATATAATAAGCTGTTTTATAATAACATAGACCTGAGCCTCCCTCCATGTTTTGGTTTCAGTTCTGCCAGCTTATGAACTGTGTTTTTGGTGTGTGTACAATAAACTTTTACTAATAACTGCTTTGGTAATTCACTGATTTTATTTCTGCTATTTATGAACTTCATGCAAGCATAGGCCCTTACAGCCCTGGCTTTGTCTGGAAGGTGGTTCTGCCATTCGGTCTAATTAGCATATTAGCTCTTTATTATATTTGTTAACAGATTAGAGGATATTTTCCCCATTGATTTTATTATTGTCTTTTTAAATATATTTTATTGATTTTTCACAGAGAGGAAGAGAGAGGGAGAGTTAGAAACATCGATGAAAGAGAATCATCAATCAGCTGCCTCTTGCACATCCCCCACTGGGGATGTGCCCGCAACCAAGGTACATGCCTTTGCCCAGAATCGAACCCGGGACCTTTCAGTCCGCAGGCCGACGCTCTATCCACTGAGCCAAACCGGTCCCGGCTGATTTTATTATTTATTTATGTATTTATTATATTGTTATTGATTTCAGAGAGGAAGAAAGAGGGAGAGATAGAAACATCAATGATGAAAGTCATGGATAGGCTGTCTCCTGCACGCCCTCACTGGAGATCAAGCCTGTAATCTAGGCATGTGCCCTTCACCAGAATTGAACCCAGGTCTCTTCAGTCAACAGACTGATGCTCTATCCACTAAGCCAAACCAGCTAGGGCCCATTGATTGTTAGAGAGTAGAAGGGAAGGAGAGAAGAGAAGGGAGGGAGGGAGAGTGAGAGAAACATTGTCTAGTTGCATCCCTGCAAACCAGGTGCCCTTGACAGGGAATTGAACCTGAGAATATTTTGGTTCATGGGCCAGCACTCTAACCATTGAGCAATACCAGCCAGGGCACAAAGAGGGCATTATGATGTCCCATTTTACAGATTTAAATCCAGCCAACCAGGCTTCAAACCAATATAGGATTTTTTGTTTTTGTTTTTAAGCCAGTGTTTTCAACCACTATTATTCCATCTCTGTAGAGAAATGTCTGGCACACAGAAGTCATTCATAGATCTAAGACTTTTCTCCGCTCTTACCAAGTTTAGGATCTGGTAAAGGGGCAAGAGTTGAGCAAACTGAAAGATCATATTTGGTTCTTATTACTACATTCATAATTTTAGTAACTTCTGGAAAGGCAAAAGTCCAGAAAACTACTATAACTCCAGTTCATAGGAAATAATCATAATCTCACAGTCATAATTTAGAGGTCTGAGAAAGTGCCAGAAAGCCAGAGACAAAGGGTGATGAGTAAGAGATTGCATAAAGAGGACACCAAAGATCTACAGTCTAGATCCTGCCAAAGGATCAAACTGTTATGTACTCTACCAAGGTCAAAGATACTTCAATTTAGACTGACTTTTGGCAACAGTATCGTTATACAAAGCCAGGGTAGAGGAATAAGTTACCTGGGGATAGGAAGTAGAGATGCACACAAACAATTTATAGAAACTGAATATTGAAAATACATTTTGTTTTGCTAGTTGGCCTTCAGCATATTTTGGGATTTTCTCTCTGGGTTCACTCTTATTGAATGGCTTTCTTCTGTTACAAATTTAGGGATAGTCTTGCCTAGCAACATCTCTGCCCAACCTTCAATTTTAGCTTGGGCCAGAAATAAAAATCCTTTTAGATCATTTACACAACAGGTGGACAATATCAGACTTTAGAAGAAAAAGAACAGGCGCCGAAACCGGTTAGGTTCAGTGGTAGAACGTTGGCCTGCGGACTGAAAGGTCCCAGGTTCGATTCCGGTCAGGGGCATGTACATTGGTTGCGGGCACATCCCTGGTAGGGGGTGTGCAAGAGGCAGCTGGTCGGTGTTTCTCTCATCGACGTTTCTAGCTCTCGATCTCTCTCTCCCTTCCTCTCTGTAAAAAAACAATGAAAATATATTTTTTTTAAAAAGAAGAATGCCGGGACTGGTTTGGCTCAGTGGATAGAGCGTCGGCCTGCGGACTGAAAGGTCCTGGGTTAGATTCCGGGCAAGGGCATGTACCTTGGTTGCAGGCACATCCCCAGTGGGGGATGTGCAAGAGGCAGCTGATTGATGATTCTCTCTCATCGATGTTTCTAACTCTCTATCCCTCTCTCTTCCTCTCTGTGAAAAATCAATAAAATATATTTTTTAAAAAATAAAAAAAGAAAAAGAACAGGCAACAGTTAGTGAAAAAGAAAACACTCACTACAACCACCAGAAATTAGAAAATTAAGCAGCTCATTCTCATTCAGAGAAAAAGTTGTTAATTAAAAACATACAGAGCCAAAGTTAACACATCTACATATATTAAACTTTCTAGAATTGACAAGTATACTGAAGAGTGGCAATACTGTGATACCATCCCCAATTCTACTCCTAGAACTTCTTTAATGTGAATTGAAACTAACAGTAAAAACATCACTATGCCTTGAGTATTACGTGGAATAACTTTGGATGAAACAGCTCTCAATTCTATTTTGAAGACCTACAAACTTCATATACACACAGCTTTTCCCATTTCTAGCATTTCTTCATTGTTGGTGCTCTAAAAATATAATGCAAAGTGAGATAAACAAATACTACCTTGGAGATATAGAGACAGTAAAGCAACAAGCAGATTGTCAAATTACAGTGGGGAGGGGAGGAGGGTCTGGGGGAGATAATAAATCAACCCAAGGACTTGTATATGCATATAAGTACAACCAATGGACATAAAACTCTGGGGAGGGAGGGGATATGTGGGAGGGAAGGAGGGGGGCAAAAAAAAAAAATCAATAAAATATGTAAAAATAAAAAAATAAAAATAAAAAAATAAAATAAAATAAAAAAATAAAAAAATAAAAAAATAAAAAAAACAAATACTACCTTGGAAATCAATTTAGGACCTCATATATGTTACAAGTACGTGCTATTTAGTTTCCGTTCGAACTATCATTTCCCCTAAAAGTTTTGCTTCTTCAACAATGATGTTTGCTTCTTCCTGGCTGACCATGCTGTTTCATTTAGAATATTATGAAAAAGTGCAGTCCCTACAGAACTATGGCATAAAAAGACAGCTCATGGCTATATGTGCCTGGGGTAAAAACATGTCTCCTCATTTTGGACAAAAAGATTCTCACACTTAAGAAAGCCATGTTCCTACATCAGGATTATGAAAGAATCCACCAAGTAACCAATGCTATCTATTTGATAGGAATGATCAATAATTAATATCTATTGATAATAATAATAATCAATATTTACTATTATGTTAGGATGCAGAAATATAATAACTAGTTCCTGAACTCACCATTAAGGGCCTGTTAT